ATTCCTGAAATATGGTGAAGGATACTATGGTAGCAATATCACTATAGCCGACTTTTTCCAAATTAGCAGACTATTTCAAACATTGTTGAAGTCCTACTAATGTCTCTAAAAGTGGCATAAGGCTTATGTTCTCCCGAGCTTTGTTGAATCAACCAAACACAGCAAATCTTTGCTCAAACACGTTGCTAATCACTGTCGGATGGAACAGCCTCTTCATCATATTAGTTCTACCAGATGACCAGTTACAGATGTGTGTGTATACACAGTGCCCTCTACTGCTAGAAAGTGAATTACAGAAAACAGGCAAAGACGGGCAGTTCTCATTCTAAAATAACATAATAATGAGAAGTTCTAAAATCTTAACAAAGATTATAATTTATAAGCAAAAAGTGCTTTCTTAGGAAAAGTAATATACAATATTTAGATTCAGAAAGATCAGAATTAAATGCTAAATAGATTTTTCAGACTTGTTCTTTCCTAATCTGCTTTGAGCTTCTCAGCCCATTGCCCACGTACTGTATTAATCAGGGGTTGGAAATCTGAGATATGACAGGATTATATATAATGAGTTTATTCCTTGTAAATACAGAAGGGATGCCACCGATAAGCTGCAGGGTCAGTAAGTGGACAGACGTGGGAAAGATCATGTCCAGTATTGCTGCTTCAGAAACAGCTTTAATTAGTTCTGCCTTGGTAACCCAGCCTGAGTCACTCTCCAGAGGCCTTCAGCAGGAAGAGTGCTTGATATTGCTTTTCTATCTGCTGGCCCGGGTAAAACTGCCAGGAACAAATCAATCTGGAAGGAGAACCAGCACATAAACACCCAATAAGGGAGCCTGAGTCTTTCATTTTCACATGTGTCAATGACCTTAAACAAAACACTTGTTTTATTTATTCTTCTTTTCATCTTCATTAGTAGTAATTTCTAAAATACTACACATTAGCAATTTGTTATACAGTACTGACATTTTCTAGCAGAAGTTCAACTTTTCAGTAAGCATAAATAAAGCAATATTAATCCAATCCAATAATATTCTGATAAAAATATTTTTTATTATAAAAATAATACATTTCCATTCTGATATTTAAAACTTGTGACACTGCTGCAGCAACAAACAGTTGCCCCTTACCTCCACACAAATATACAAACTGGCATTTGGGTGCATTTTATACTTGTATCTCTGGAACTCTGTGCTTTGCTGCCCTTAATTCATCAGACTCAAAGAGCAAAGTCTCAGCGGATGAAACACTGGTGTTTCAGCTCCCTGGAGTCCTACTTTGATGTGCTCTGTGCTCTTCATGGCAGAGCCTGCAACAGTTACAAGAACAGCCCTTCCTGTGTGTTACCGTCAGGGTCTGCAGCACGCTCACACCTCCCCGAGATGCACTGCTCCTCCCCTGGTGACTGAACTCCTCCCTTTCCCGCAGCCCTGTGGTGAGCAGTAATGGGCTCTCGGTCCTGCCTCGCACCCTGGTCTCCCGGGATGGGCTCGGATTTGCTGCGCCCTCGCCAGGGCGAGTGACTTCCTGACAATGGAAGGGAGCTGTGCCCTGAAGGGCTCTGGCCCCACACTGCGCAAAGAAGGGTTTTCAAACCTGCATGAACAAATTACTTTCCTGTGCTTTGATGTGCACTCACACAATGGCCATGGTTACTTCAGACAGTAATAGTCTATGTCTGATAATTTAAGAATCAATATTTGTACATTTTTCACCATCTTCCGCACTGAATTATTGAAATACTGCCTTCATATTCTAACCAGCTGCACTTCGGCTTTCATGTGAATTAAAAGAGTGCCTGTGTGTCAAAACAAGGGGATTTAGTCCCTCTTAATTTGGATCCCTGTTTGTACCTCCTCAGGGAATATATCTGTCAACTGCTCAATTTTGTGTTAACACAAAGTGATGTTTTTCAAAGAGGATTAAGACTACAGAATAAAAAAAGGATTTGTTTTGGGACATTTGTTGAGTTGGGGGGCAACCATTTTCCAGACAAACTGCACAGAAAAGTTATATTAACTATCAAAAGCATTTGAATGTAGCACCACCTGGTGGTTATTAATCAAGTTTCCTCTAAACGTAAGTGGTTTTAACTTTTTTCATAAAAGGAAACATCATTGGTAAGCAAGTCTATTCTTCTATTTCCTTGGCACACAATTTCTTAAACCCCAAAGCAAGACATCAAACACACCTATATATTTATATATTTTAAGCATGTGGGCACTGTAATACAATTTGTACTTTGTAGTTATATGACAAAACATCAAACATCAATGGGATGGATCAAGGACGGTCATAACCCTTCATAGCCAGACTCTGCTCTTCTTACTTTGTTCTCTTTCCTCCTTAATCTATTTTAATGTTCATAAACACAGTGAGCTAGTGGACAAATGTTGTCTGAACTTCTTTGATTTTTTGTTGTTTAATATGAGCTATTGGAAAATACTTATTATAGTGAAGTAAATAACTCATGAAAATGAATGGCATTGGTAGTGTTCATAATAGCAGCCACAAAAAAATACAATATGTCCTCATAACTTACTGTCCTCATTCAGTTGTGCATTTGTCAAAAGCTCTGGCCGCCCTGCACCTGTCCCAGGACTCAAGTGCAGGGTGACAGCAGATCCTGGACAGCATGCTAAGGAGCCATGGAAACGTACAGAGATAGATGCCAGTTCACCTGGACAGCTTGCAGACTGCACACAGAAGGCAGCCCAGTCCTGGTCCTACTAGCTGTGAGGCAGCTGCACTAAATGTCACTTCACATGCATTTTTTCTCAAGATTCATCACAGAGCATCGCACAAACATGACCAGACCATTTCTTGCTTATTACTTTCCCTAGGAATAAGGAGAAAAGATGTAGAATTCCTGAGGTAAATTGTTGGTAATGTCTTCCATCCACATCCTGAAAAAAGCTAGGATTTACCTCCAAGAATAAAACTTGATGCAGTGCGAAAAAAGAAAACAGATCCCTGTGCGATACTAATTGTGTTATATTTATCTACATAAAGAATTTAAAGAAAATGTTATCTCTGCTGTGCTACTTGTATTGCCCAAAGGGAAACCATTTTTATTTATATGCAGTTTATTTATGAATCATGTAAAATGGTTCTTGCTGTCTTGTTTAGAGCAACCTTACTCTTAAACACTGACATAACTAGTAATGACAAGTCAGCAGGTTCTGGCTCATGAATTACACTTTATAGATTAGTGAAATTCAACATCCATCCTCTAAATCTATTCCAGTACACTACCTTGTTACAATTTAATTATTAATTAAATTAATCAGTTTAATTATTTAACGGAAGCCAAAAACAATCAATTAAATAATCAAGGCACTGGATACAAAGCCCACTAAAGAAATTAATTGCAAACGTCTCAAATGTGTGCAGGTCGTACATGATGGCTAGTGATTAAACGTACACTATAGAAATCGTTTAACATTCATGGCTTGTGGTTGAGACCTAACCCACACCAAAGGAGAGAGTTAGCAATCATTCCAAGGCTGGAAGTAGCACTATCTGCCAGATTGGAGAAGTGGTTAGAACTCTAGACTTATGACTGGATGGCTGTTGGTTCAAATTCCAGGTGAGCACTGGTGTTGTGCTCTTGAGCAAGGCATTTCATACAGATTGTTATGACACAATGCTCAGATGTGTTAATCAGTACAAATATAAGGCCTTTAGGATAAAGGTACGAGCCAAATAAAGTAGAAGTGATACTAAGAGCACATTTTATACATCTAAAGTAAACATTCAAATTAATCTTTAAGGTATTTCTAAAGTTATAATACTAGGAGAAAACAATAATACTTACAAATAATGATGATACTGAGAGTGAATATACATCTGGGGCAGGGTCTCTCACTCCTGGTTCTTGTAGACCATTTCATCGATCAGCTGTCTGGAAAATAATCACTATTCATGATGTCAGCCTTTAATTCATTTACATGTGTCTGCATGGAAATTAATTTGGCAACCTAGTAAAACTAATTTAGACAGGAATAGGGGAGCAACAGTTTATTAAGCTTGGCTCAGGCTGACTAGAGAACTCTGTGCTAAATGTCTCTACAACAATACAGAGAAAGGCCAAGAGGAGAAAACAAATGCCGTGGATTTGTTTTTTTGTTTTTTGTTTGTAAAGTGTATTAGTATTTTTTTGAAAGAATTAATTGTAAAAATAAAAATGAGAAAATATGATGTTTTCAAACAAGTCTGAGCGACTTGGAGGTCACAGTGTATGGAAACCTGAAGACTGTCTGCCAGGATCTGGACTCAAACTCAGGACCCTGGCTGTAGGTGCTGAAGACTTCACCTGCACATGACACAATGGTCATATGTATGTTTTATTTTAACACTCCTTTAGATGTGCATCATTCGATTAAATAAACAAATGAAGCATCAGAACACAACCGGGCTTTACTGAGGGCTCCAGGTTTTACACTGGTTTGTGAACCAGCTACGTGAAGTTTGATGCAAAATTTCACACTGTACTGTAGGTGTGGCAAGTCTGGAGACCTACTATCTATCACCGTAGGAACAGAACAGCATTCAGAGACCCTCAAGTGTGCATCACTTGTTACAGGCATCTTCAGTTTTAAATCTGTCCTTACTAAACTTTGATTTTTTAAACCAAAGTATCACAAAGGAGGAAGAGACGATAAATGGCTTACAGCAGATTACATATTCCATCTCAGTAGCAGAAGAAGTGGAACACTTTCCTTCTGTTTTCTAGTTCATTTTTACAGCTCCGTGGGGGACGCGCATGAAGCTGCGCCTTACTGATTTTATCACATGTTTAAGTGAGAGCAGCTGGCAAGACAAAGCTGTTAAACCGCGGAATTACTCTTGAGCAATCTTCTACCAGTTGAGTGAACGTTTACTAAACAGTATAAAGACATATTTCTAAACCACCCATTAGCTGAAAGTGTAAGATGTAGAACTGATTTCTGAAGATCATTTATGTTATGCTAGCTAATAAAAACCTAATAGAAGGTGGAGAACCAGGTGAACTAATTCAAAGACACCTCCCCGAGTGCCGCTCTTGCTTGTACTCACTAACTCCATCTTCGCCTGTTGGGGGGAATATTCCCTGAATTACTCACAATTGAGTCTTCAAGCGGTAAAGAACATGTATCGTGCAAACTAATGGAAGGTGAAAAGTCAGCATCTGTAACACAGAAGAAGGGTGTCACGGCGAGTTACTTGTTTCTCTGATTAAAGGTCATAGTGAATCAAATTCCCTAGAACAAGTTGCGCACGTGACGTGCGAATCAGTTTGCAGTTGCTTTGTCTTTTTCAGCCTGTGAATAGTTGCATTATAAGGTTGTAAGTATAAGGTTGTATTATATTTATTTCTAGACTTATCTTAATGAGATGTAGAAAAAAGCTCCTCATATTTCTAATCTGCTCTATAAACGGGCAACAGGGTATCAAAAGGCATTAATGAGTAAAATTAAACGTCATTGTTGTTGCAATTGTTAATAACGCGTAGTATTTCATACAGTGCTCACTGAAAAGGTATGGTTGTACTGTATATGGGCTTTCGGTCCAAGAGACCCGCTGAACAGGTGTATATGCTAGGACATCACGTTGTTGGAAAACGAGTTTTCCTTAGATGGGTAGATTTGGTTCTCGGGGACGTTAAAAGGCAAAAAGACGGTAAACTGCGCTTAAATAGATAATTATTTATTGCAAACGAATATTTTCCAATTTTATTAACTTAGTCGGGGGTATCATTTAGGTTAAGCACCAGATACAGTTGTTTCGAAATGTTTAGTGGATGATGCTTTACTATACAATCAAACGTTCACACCCCGCCGCAGAGTTCCTCTCTACTTTCAGAGCTCTTACCGGGGGAGGTGATCGCGCCCTCTAGTGTTCATGGTTTTCAGTACAATTGAGTGAGTCGTCTGGCGGAGGGCTGGCGTGCCGTCTGCTGTAACTATTTTAATCGTCTTTTAAGGGAAAGTTGTGTTCCGTTGGCTTATTCATATTCAGGTATATGCATTATTACATTAATGCATTTTTATGCAACGCATAGCCACTGTTCACTAACGATAAGCCATGATACCGCTGTCTCTCCGGTTGCTGTGTTTCCTAATGTTTTCCTGGGTTGTACTTCTTTTTCGTAAATAAGTTCATTTTTATTTTGTGTTCTTGTTGTTTGGACGTTGGGAGTCCCCATAGCGTTTTCCCTTTGTTTACATAAATTTTGTAGCAGCCCGATTCCAATCTTGATATTCATTAAACCGCATCCTGTGCTCAATACCTTATTATGCCTGAAGAGTGGAAATTGCGATCAATGCCAGCATTCGATTGTGCAAAGGTTACTTCACAGTGACAAATAGCAATGTCATAATAGCTGCTGAGATATATTTTTATTTCTGATGGGCCCATTAAGTTGGTTTGTTTGTAGGTTTGCATTTATTAAATTACATTAATATTTTCATTGTTTGTTTTTAGATGATATCAGTCACTTAGGGAACGTTAGAAAAACAGAAGTAACAAGTTGTCAATAAGTCTGGTTACACAAAGAATGTTTTTTCTTGTTGTTCCTGTTTGAAGAATTGTTTTTGAAGTTATGCAATATTGTCTTGTTTTACTTTAATGCTAATTTAATCCGCCATAAATTGTATGATTATTCTGTAATAATATTAAGTGATTAGAGCCTCAAAGATTTATTTTCATCTTTAGGCCTAAACAACCACTCTAATATCTCAAAGAAAAGATGATTAGTGGACTAATATCTAATGGATGTTTTTCTTCACATAGGATTTTGGAGTAGTGTTGAGAATTCTTTTTCCTTTATGTTTCAGTAAGCATGATCTGTTATTGCACATTGCTATCATTATCATTTTTTGAAAAATCATCTTGAGGACTTGTGATGTCATTGATTTTTTTTTTTGAATGCCATCACTTCATTTCCAATCATGAAGAGTAGTCTGTATTTCCATTAGGAACAAGTAATAGGTTTATTCCATGCTGAAAAGAATAAACTGGTGTTTTACCTTTATAGCCTATGCATGGTGACACAGCTACCCACCTGTATTTCCATTAGTCTACATTAGGATTCCTGTTGAAAAAAACCTTGCTCTTCTGGCTGGTGTTTTGTGATTGGATTCCATTTGATTTATCCAAAGCAGATCTCCACACACACACATATATATATATAAGAATTTTAAAAGAGACAATAGGGAGAATATTTTCGTAATCTCTACATGTAGTTTTTTTAATGATAATAATAATGATTCATATTTTGTTTTTGTATTACAAACATTCTCTGCTTGTTTCACAGCAAGATGGGGGAAACATTTGTAAAGGAGCTGTTGAGTTTGTGTCTCATTAAAATTGCAGTGGATGACAACACAAACTCAGAACTTGGTATGTTTCATTTCTTCTCCTTTAATGTGATTCAGTATGTCTGTGAAAGATATGAAAAAACAAAATAGCTCAACATTGTTTTAAAATATATGGTAATTTGGTGACAATATGTATTGGTAATATGCAATGTTGTTTTCAGATATTGATGTAAGATGAAAAAAATCAATGAATTCACACCTCAGGGTTCAGTCCCGTGTGGATGTGAAATTTTGCTTGGTGTGGACAGATGGCTGTTATTACAGTGAGAAAGGGGCGCATGCGCCTGTAGGTTAGTGGAGATATTAGTGTTTCTATTATTGCCATTTTACTGGTAGAATATTACTTGTCCTTATCTCCAGCTTTTTAATGAACTTTCATTCCTAACACCAAGGTTAAAAATTAGGTTTAGCCTGTGGAGATTGCTTTTTTTATTGTCACCTTGATATATTGTTGTAAAAATAATTAAGTTAATTCCCTCTGTTTTGTAGAGCTTATTAAATTTTAGCAAGGCTGTTTGCTTGTGGACATTGCAACCAAAACTCATTAATTTAGGGAAGTAAGCATTATTTGGATTGTTTTTTTTCATGAAAATCCCCTTTCAATAAGCTTGAAAGGTTTCTTTTGTTCTTAGAAAATACATTTCCTTTATATACAAACACTGTTGTTCACCAAAGCTGCAGTTTTCAAGCACTGTGAGCCAGCTCTATCCTTCAGAACTGGTTTTACTTGCAGTGATTTAAATGAATCAATGAAAATGGGGATTTTGAACAGTTTAAAATGGATTAAATAAGTAATTTAAAAATTCTTTCTTCTTTTTTTTCTTTGCAACATAATCAAAATTATTCCATTCAAGACAACTGTGTGCTACGTGCTTTATTACTGCACTTTGATTCAAACATTAACTACACACCTAATAGGACATTTAGAAACCTGCTGTTACTAGCTTTCTTTTGTTAATACAAGGTAAAATAAGTTGAAGCAGTATACACTGCTCTTGTTAGGACCCAGAAAAAGGTCACTAATTTGTAATATAATAGTTGGACATTTTTATATAAAAACTTGGTTGTGCTATACTTATTGAGTATGTGACAGTATTTCATGTGCTTTTCATGAAGAGGACTTTTTTGGATAGCTTTAGTCTTGTAGATACAGCAATCTAAACTGACATGATATTTTGGGATTCTGTTTGCTTTCTTTTGCTTTGTGTTTTGTGATCTGGGGCTTGCCCAAGGGAATATTGACCTCAATCACGGGTTGTGTCACTAGTCGACTGTGACTATCATTCCCTCAGTGGGGCTGTGCAGTTGGCTGAGCACCACTGAGGACAAGGTGCGACCATTCAGCCAGGACACTCAGGTCTCAGCCACACAGCAAGATTCGGAATTGGGTTTTTTTCAGACATAGTTTTTCTGCTGAATCAAATAAATTAGCAGCCACAGCAAGATATTTTCGATATCTTCTTGAGAAAAACTTAATTCAGTGCCAGATAAATAAGGCCACCTCAATATGATCTCAAATAAGAAATCTATATTGTAAAATGCATACGATTGGGACATTTTAGATGTCATTTTTTTAAAGGAGAATGCAGTGTTAAAACAATCATCATAAGCATGAACAGAGTACATTCCTTTACTGATTTTTGGCATATATTATAAGGCACAAGCCTGTCATCATTTGCTTTCAGAATTCCTCCACGTGGTGAAGAATTATGAGGAAACTAGGAAAAAATGGCTGCAGTCTGAGCTAGAGCTGAAGAAGTATAAAGAGCTCCTGATGAAGTCGGAGTTGACAAAATCAGCACTAGAGGTAAAATTAAAACATGCTCGCAACCAGGTTGATGTGGAGATGAAGAAACGGCACAAAGCAGAGGCTGATTTTGAACACCTGGTAAGTTACTAAACAGAACAAAGTCTTTCCCCACTATATCATTGACAATAAATCTGCATTTTTGTGCATTAAGACTTTTTTGTGCGTGTGAATCTGGCAACAATTTAAGAATATTCTGTTTTAAAGAATAAGTCCTTGGATTGCTGTAGTAAAAGAGGAAGTTCGGGGCTTAAAGCTGTGTGAAAGTTATCGCATTTCTCTACCTTTGCCAATGGCAAAACCAGCTTAACATTGTTTTGAGACATTTAGAAAGGAACCTTTGGTGGTTAAATGTGAAATTTTCTCCTCAGTCAGATTGTTTTAAGGACCTTAACCATAGAGGATGAATTAAACCAAAACCTCTTCTTGCAAAAGATATACAGTAGGTATGGAGTTGTCCTCTTTGTAAGAGTAAGCAACTCATGATGTATATACATTTAATGTCATTTGCAAGTAGGAACAATTTACACATTGAATTAGTATAGAGCATATTTTTGTGTGTGATGTTTTTTAATCACAGGAAAGACAGATGCAGCTGATTTGTGATGTTTTAATGCATGATGGCCAGTCTGGTGCTTATCTAAATGAAGAACAGAAATTTGTGCTGGCCAACTTCAATACGAGAAGATCGGGTGTCACTCACAATATGGGCAGAAGGTAAAACTCTAAAATTTATAACATCAGGGGTTGGCTTGTATCTTGTCATTTCATTTCAAGTTTAATGCTTTTATAACCTTGTAGAACTTACTGACTAATTTAGTGACTAATTCAGAAGGTATCTGAATTAGTTGCTAAAATGTCAGCCAACACATGATTCTTGGTTTATATTTCCACTGTCTTTAACTTTTTAATTCTCTGTCTCATTATTAGACATATCAAATGAATAAGATGTTGATATTTTCCTTATCCTTTATAATTGCAATTAACTGCATCTCTATTAAAAAGGGAGAACTTAGATGTCACTTGATAATTAACTGATTGGCCGGAATCTAACTTAATTTTGGCAAAAGATCTATTGGTCTATAACTTTATTACAAGATAATTTATTTGAAAATAAGCTGTATGAAATAAGATGAGTTCTTCTATCCATTCTTGGTTCTTAGTTGTTGGTAGTACTGGAACTGGTTTGCGTACCTAACTTTGTTCAAATTGGGCACTGTTCCTCCTTGACACAGTTGGCTTTTTACAGGGCTCCGTTTTGCCCCATTGTTATTAGTTCCTAAATTTCTCCATTGGCTCAGTTGTAATTTCTATGATGTTTAAACTCAACTATATGTTTGCATGAAACCTAATATCAATCAAACACTGTCAGCATAGATGATGTTAGAAATGGATGCAGCAAAGATTTTAAAACCAGATCTGACAAGTTCCAAGATATAATAATTATCTCTTCCTATCAACCGTGTCCACTTCAGTTCGACAATCGACAGTTTTGGCATTAGTCAAAATACTCACGTCAGAAATCTTTGTGTCATCTTCCATCTTGTTTCAAAAGCAAGTGCAGTGTGTGAAGGTGTTATGAACATTTTTCATTTTTGTAACTGGATCAGATGTAGAAAAGCTAATCCATGCATTTCTCTTTTTCTGGCTTGATTATTCTAATACAGTGCTTGCTAATGTATCCAAATGTGTTCTTGCCAATTTGCAATTTGTTTAGAAGTCGGCTGTTGAGATCTTAACTAAAAGTAAAATGCATGAGCACATCTCTCCTGTTTTAGCTTCCTTAACTGGCTCTCTGTGGATTTCCGAATACGGTTCAAAATAGTACTGTGCAGCTTTAAGAAATTACATGATTTGGCTCCTGACTACATCTGTGAACTGTTATCTCCCTACACATCTGCACATCATTTGCACTCTTTGGACTCTGGCCTTCTTTAGAGCTCCCAGAATGAGGATCCGAACCCTTGGAGACTGTACTTTCTGTACTGTTGCTCCAAAGCTCATATTGCATCTCTCATATCAGTTAGCACTTTTAAATCCTGTCAATTTTCATACACTCGATTTTAATTGTTTTTTTCATGTTTTTACATTTGCAATGTTTTAAACTACTTTAAAGTGTCAATAAAAGAACTATATAAAATAGCTTCGTACTCATTGAGTGAGTATAATCTGAGTTTTCACTTTCAAGGTCTGCTATATGGTATACTATGGTATAAGTAGTAACTTTAAGTATAGTTTTGGTTTTTAAAAAAAATATTTCTATTTTTGTTTTGTTTTTCAGATTATCTGTCATTGATGAATCCGGCAACTCATTTCTGTCACATTCAGATATTAGTTATGACCGAACAGATGATGACCTGGTAGAACATTTTTTAATTTTTAAGTCCTAAGCCCCATTTTAAAATTCCTGATACAGAATATATTTCAGGTGCTATTGAATGTGATTGAAAGGGGAGGATTGGTTAAAACATGATGGTGGTAATAGTTTTGAAATGTACTGTATGAATGTAAGTTGTCTACTATAGTAGCCAAAGTAAACACATTTATCTTAATATTTATAATAATATTAAAAACCATAAATGCTGTTTTGTAGGATCTGGATACTTCTGTGGTTAAACCACTTAAATCAAGAGCCCGAGAGAAAAGGGTAAGCATTGTCTGACATAAGAAACAAGTAAAAATATGGGCTACTTGTGATGAAATTGGGGAGAGGGAGAGGAAGCCTCATATTAATAAGCACGGTGGGACTTGTAATATTCTTATAAACCTGAAAACACCTGTGTGTTTGTTTTTATGTAACTCCTCCAGCGCTCCTCTCTCGCTCCGGGGGTTGGGCCGCCTCTTCTCCCTAAGCGGGTTCGAGCCGGAGGACGATCAGGTGACTTCTTAGGAGGAAAGGCAGCTGAAAATGTAAGAAGAAATTACTTGTGCTTTTCATATCATAGGCTGTTTAAATGAACAAACACATCAGAGAAAAAGAGGACAGATATGCTAAGATAAGCTAAGCATTTATAAAATGTTTGTGTCTTGCGAGTCTGTGGGCGAATAGTAACAATACCTGGCTCGACAAGCAGTTCATGGGTCCAGGATGTTCTGTGCCCACGAGCTCCAGCTGCTGCAGTCACTGAAAGGACACAGTAGGGATTCTGACAGAGATGCTGTGTTGGGTTGAGAGAATGATGAGAATGAGAATCTGTGCTTTTTATTTTAGTGCCTTTACCTGTTTTTTTTCTAATCTTTATTTCAACCTTTAGAAAGCCGAGTTTTAGCATCCTATCAAGCGTGTACAATGTGTCTCGTTGAATAAATGTAGTGCTGCTATCTTGAATCTCCAGAGAAGGTGACAGCAAAAAAGCACAGCCTTCTTGCCCTGAGGCGTTGTTACATGGCACAGTTAGCAGAAAGTCAGCCAGCTGTTCAAAAGGAGATGCTGCCTGTGAAAGAAATTCTTTCATTAATCACCTGATTATTCCTGAACTTGTATCTTTTATAGACAGGGGGCAGCATGTTGTCACTTCTTATTGGAAACTTAATTCATCAGGCCCCAGGCCCTACACTTGTCATCATTCTCGCACTGCCTGTGTCCTGGTGTGGAGACGCTGCTGGACCAGGCATGATCAGCTTCTGTGACGCCCCTTCCTATTGCTGCACCTTAACATTAATCGTCCCTTGAAGGAACACAAGCTTTCACACTGAAATTAATTACCCTGACTTCAGTCAATAGCCCTGAATGTGATTATAAGAGACTCATTAGTGTTTGATAATTTTCATAATACCATTTGAGCTTTGGAATCATGATTAAATATATTATTGTGTGTGAAATGTAATCCAAGGAGAGAACTATGTAATGCTGAACATGGAAGTGTTTTGTTTTCCAGGTCCACTGTGAATCGATTGTGACAAAAACTACCGTGACTCTGCCCGAGGACAGAGGTCACATTCAGACTGTGTCTACTATTGAGACACTGCCTCAGAGGTCTTTCAGAAACCAGCAGATCTCCTCTGTAACAGGTGCTTATTGATATTTGCTTATGTTTTTACTGGCAGCTGCCCATTCTGTAACATTGGAATTGTAGAATTAAAAACAGTACAGTACAAAAACTGTAAGTGTGACATACATATGTATGCTGTTGATAAAGTGCTCTGAAGGGGCACAAACATCAGAATTTAAAAGAGTTTAATGTTTAATAAAATGTTTTGGATTCTGTGGTTATTTCATTATTATTCTAAATCTCAGTTTTGTGTAGGACAATAAATTAAGAATTTTAGTCCCTTCCAGAGCAAACCACAGTGTGGGCTGTTGGGGAGGACACAAATGGAGGAAATCTGACATGTGTCACTGAGATGGAAATAGATTCGAACATTAAGTTTCAGAATGTTCCTGCTATCCCTGAAGAAAAAGGATCACGACACACATTTATTTCTAAAACGGTGAGACCATTTTTGATTCCTTTAATATTTAAGTGACTTCAACTATTCATTGCAATCCTGCTGTCACTGAATGAAACATTTTTAAATATTAGGTGTGGTGTTAAAAGTTATGCATAATAACTTAACTTTCATTGTTTTTAATAGTAATTACTGTACCAGGTGGGTGTTATGCAGCTTAGTGTCTGTTCAACTTGTATGGAAGTGGGATCAGAGTACAATCTGTAGCCAAGTGTTCCTTCTGGTTTAAGTTCTCATCAATACATTGTTTCATGAAGTTTGTTCTTGAACTGTTTCAGTTCTGCTACAAAATGAAAATGTTGCCTTTTGTAAAAGCTAATGAGGCTGCATTTGCAGTTCAGGGACAGGGTATTGATCTTCTGTATAAGCCAACATAATTGACCTATAAAGTTGCACACATCGCTTAATGCTCTTCTGCTTTGACTTAGTCATGGTGGACATCATGCTGCAGGAATGTTCTGCTCTTGAGTGCTCAGCATTTTTAAGCAGTCAAATGGAAAACAGGTTAACTGTCATAGAAGAAAATTTTTTTCAGCTTCAATTTTGTTTTCTGTTTAAATAAACTTTTTTGGGGAAAAAAAAGGTTCCTTCCTTTAGAATCTCCAGCTTTGTACTGAACTCACCTCACTGATGCAGTGCTCATTCCAGAGTGACGTATAGTGTTACAGCTGTGAGTCCCACAGTGCCTATGGTGGAGATGGCATTGCTCAGAGGAAGGGATGTAGGTCTCGTTGGTGTCCAGCAAGCCACACATGAGCTGCTGGTGTGCGACGCATGGAGGTCAACCCTGATCTGTGCAAGCCAACTCAGCCCAGTTACGTGCAGGTATTTAGGACCTCAGCTGGTGACGTCTGAGCTGACCGCCACAACAAGCACTCCTCATTCCCTTCTCAGTCCGAGGCATTCAGGAACCCCTTCTCCCCATCTTTGAGCAGATTCCCCTTTTGTCGTCTCAGGTTATCCGTCCTGAAGCTTGTATCCCATGTGGGAAGAGGATCAAGTTTGGGAAGATGGCTGTGAAGTGCAGGAATTGTCGGATGGTGGCTCACCCTGAATGCAAAGACCTGTTTTCCCAGAGATGTGTGCCTAGTGTCTCGGGCCCTTCTGCTCAGAATTTCAAGGTATTGACTAATTTTAGCTTTGTTCGTAACATGTGCATAGTGAAATGTTTGTTCCTTATCTGCTTTTTTTTGTTGCAGCTAGCTTTGAGTTGTTTTCAAATCCTTTGTTTTTCCAGGGCATTTTGGCAAATTTTGCTCCATCGACTCCTCCAATGATCCCTCCAATAATTGTACAGTGCGTAAATGAGATTGAGAAGAGAGGATTGCAAGAGGTGACTCCTTTCTTACCCTAGTTCTTTTGGATAATATTTCCCGATCTATTTCAGTGATTGCTTGTTGGTTAAAAAACCATGAAGAGATCCGTTAATTTATTTTCTTTATGATCCAGATTGGAATTTACAGAGTGCCTGGCTGTGAGCGAGTTGTGAAAGAACTGAGGGAAAAATACCTGCTTGGGAAAGGGGTAGTTTCACTTAGTAAGGTGGATGATATTCATGTCATCTGTGGACTTCTCAAAGACTTCCTGAGAAAACTGAAGGAACCCATTCTTACTTTTCATCTTCACAAGGTGTTCATGGATGCGTGCGGTATGAATTTTTGTTCCACTTACAGATATAAGGCAATAGTTATGAGTGGTTTAATTGCATAACTTTGAGTAATGAGCTCTGTTTACAATTATCTGCAGTTAAAGAATAAAGTCCCTTCAAGCAGCCTGTTAGCTCTCAACTCAAAAGAGCTGCTCTGATCATGGCTTCCCTTCAGTCTCAAAATCATCTTCTAAGCCATAAAATGAACTGAACCTTGTAATGACTTTCAGCTTTCCTGAGAGTGTGACATGTTTTTAAACAACTAATTCAAGATCTATTAGGCTTCACCAGAGAGGAAATGCACAGGACATGTAGGGTAACAGTTCCAGTTAAATGAGCTTTCACAAGGTGAAATTAGTAGTTGAAGAATCCAGTTCAAACTGCCTTTGGGTTGCAGATGCCAAATAATCTCCTGTAGGTTTTGTGAAAGAGTAATACTTACAGTTGGTGTCTTTATTGAAATCTAATAAAGCTAATGTTTTCTTTAAGCTCTTCTTATCTTTGTACTGCACCTTCTGACCAGTTACTTATTTAGCACAGAGATTATAACCCATTCAATTTATGTCCACTTACTGTATTTTGCACCAGTCAGATTTAATCTTGTGATAATGAAAGCCAGCTTTCAAAAGTATACATTTTCAGTTTGTCTGAATCAGATTTAATGACTCCAGGGCATCAGCTCTGTTGCTCTATTTTTTTAAATTAAAAATTGAAATGGGTATTTCAAGGAGTCAGTGTTAATTTCCTAGGCTTTTAAGTGTTATAGCAAATGCTACAGTGCATTAACATCCTCTATGCAGCACAGTATCAAAACTGACATTTATTGAACCTACACTCCAGCTGCTTCAGAAAATGTATATTTCTAATTATCAGTTTTTGTATTGGTGCTAAATGGTAGTATGCCAAATTCAATACCCTACAACATAAAAAGGAAAAAGGGAATACATATTTAATTATGTGCATTAGTTTTCTCTGCTAAAAAGAACTAACCTTTTCACAGCCTCTGATGCTCAGGTACTGTTCTTCACAGAAATTCTCGATGATGATAACAGTATTGCAGCGATGTGCCAAGCTACAGGAGATCTGCCGCAGCCCAACAGAGAGACACTGGCCTTTCTCATGCTGCATCTGCAACGGTGAGCTCCCCCCAGAGCGAGCAACACAAGCAGACTGAGCACATGCTATTCTACCTGCCATGGAGTCTAACAATCTGCTTTTAACTCATTGAAAGGTTTGTACTGTTAAAACAATTTTAAATTCCTTCTCCAGAGTGATGAAGAGCCCGTTCTGCAAAATGGACCTGAACAATCTGGCCAGGGTGTTCGGCCCCACCATTGTTGGGCACTCTGTCCCAGAGCCATCCCCTATGATGATAATGAGGGATACGACACTGCAGCCGAAAGTAGGTACATGGGGAAAATAGGTCATATAAAATTCAATTTATTACATTTTTATACAATTTTGGGAACATTTAATATAATTTATGGAAATGTAATTAAGACTGTAGTGATTTTAGTTTTTTTCTAGATTTTAAACCACTTTAAATAAACCAGAGTGGTATATTTTTAAAATTTGACATGTTAAAACTACAGAACTATTAAACATTTTGATACCTTCAAATTTTTAATGTAACCAGTCCACATGATCTAGCACTGTTTTTACATGACACTAGAGGCATGTGTTCTAATAGTGATGATTTTCACATTTCATTACAAAAAATGTGTTTATGTGATTAGGTTGTTGCTCGTCTCCTGTCCCTGTCAGAAGATTATTGGAAACAGTTTATTATGGTGGAAAGTGATCGGATAATTTCATCTGTAGTTGATGCCAATATCAATAATGATAGCAACGCCATGGAAAAAGGTAAACAGCTAACCAATGCTACCTAATATTATTCTAGGTAAATATAGTGTAGTCTGTGAAACCAGCTCAAGATGAAACAGATTTGATCTCATGCTAATGACAGTAGAGTAGTTTTCTGTCAATTTCAAACCAGTTTCACCTCTCTACACATTTTTATATCAGATCGCCTGTTTAAGCCCTTGACGTCCCCAGAGATGAGTGGTGCTTTCAAAACCCCCAGCTCTGGCTCTCTGAAGGGCAAATTCAAAACCACTCTGGGCACTGCTCTAAACCAGCCGTAAGTCCTTTCGCTTTCTCTCCGAGTGCTGTCTTAAACAAAAATACAGGAATGTGCAACTCTTCTATTTGAAAAGGAATATAAAAGCAGAAAGGTTTAAAACTGGGTAGTACTGAAACATTGATATTGCTGTAGAGATATGATACTTCCAGAGTTTGTTTTTTTGAGGTACTCAGTTCTTAATAAGACTTGAAGATTTCTGCAAGGCATTTGTATTTTCAGTTTATCACTCAAAACGGCCTCTTCAAAATTTTTGGAACCTAAAAAGAATTACCAACATTATATTCTTCATGTTAATCGGGTAATTTTTGTTAGTTATGGGCTTTATTATAACAAAAGCCAGGAGGCACTGTGACCCTCTGGACATGAGTTTAATACCCCAGCTCTAGCTTTACCTTAACATAAGGAAGCCCAGCTCCAGGCCTGGAGGGTCACAGTCCAGCTGGTCTTGTGTTCTTTGTATCTCTTGCATGTAAATTATTGGAATCAGTTTAACCAATAAGTTCAATTAGGTCGATAAGGATATGGCTGCAATAAAAACTAGTCACTTGACTCTGGATTTGTGCAGTACAAGAGTTATTTTAATGAAGTGCTTTTTTTCAGGTTCAACAGCAAAACCAAGACTGAATCTGGCAGAAAAAAGTTTTTTACATCCCCAAACTGATCCAGCTGTTTTTTTATTAATGAAAAGGGGTTGGGTTGAGGTGTGACTAGGTTTTCTTTTGACTATAAAATGTCAGAAATGTTTCTTAGGGGCTTCTGGAAATAGCGTGAATGCTGCTCCAATGTTTAATTATGACATTTTGAAGGAGAGAGGCTCTTCGAAGCTGCTTATTCTTTTGGTGGTTTCTAAGAATAAATTTGTTGGATTATTTTGAATGTAATTGTAAAGTGCATCAGGGATCTTTAGCCTTTTATCTTCCAGTCTGTCCTTTCTGCTGCTGCACATTATCAAAACTAACAGCTCTTTGTTGGTAAATGGAGCTCCTAAAATTAGCTGTTTTCAGGGCAGCCTCTGCATCTGCCTCTCTAAAGGGCTCTATTTGTAATTTATTGCTGGCAGACCTTAAATAATGGATTGAATTTAGTAGTAGATGAGAATCTTGCATTTGTACTGAAACTAGTTCCTTTTTTCGTATAGATATTTATATTTAATATTACTTGTATAAAGCCATTTTCAAAAGTAATGACATCCTTGGATGGATAATCATTTGCAGTGTATATATATATATTTCAGTCATATATGAAATATGATGATTCCTGATTGTTTCTAGGCAATGTTTATTGCATAAATACACTGCCATATTTATCAGATTTTATTGCTATGAAAGAGGGAAGAGGAGTGAAGGGGGAATCAAGGACGTACAATATCAACAGCACACCATCCTTCAAGCTTTCCTGGTACCTTTCAGTTGGAATATTTATAAACTTGGAAACAATTTGTGTTAAGCCATTTTGAATTTTCTTATGGTTCTAATGAAAACATTTAAATTTAGTTTTTCTGCTATGCCCTTGTCACAGTGATTTATTAATCACAGTTCAGTATCTGCTGAACAAAATAGTTTCAAGTTTAACATTTGTAAAGACCTTTATCAGACTTGAAGAAAACCAGCTTGGTACTTCAAGATACCAGGAAGACTGAAATATTCAAAGCTATTAAAAAAAATTGAAAGTACTTATGCATTAAAATATATTCTGCACTTGGTCAGATTTACTGAACATAAATACCTTGTGAATATGTATGGGAATGAATTAGTGTGCTGTGCCATGGGGAAAATCGTATTTATGGAATCATGCACTGGAAAGGAACTGAAGCACTTTGTAAACCTGGAGTGTTCAAGTAAGTGAATTAAATCTCCATCTAATATCTGCATCTCTGATCCTCGCAATATTTATTCTATAAAAAAATATAATGAATTTGAACAGATTTTTGCACCATGTGGAAACTTATAGCTTGATTACATTTATTAACATTACAGTTGGCTGATATGCTTCATACAACACCCCCCTGGGAAATAGCACAGGCCCATTTTCTCTTTGAAGTTGCTACACTCCTGCTTTGATTAACCTCCACTTTAGCATTACCCTCCTGAAGCTAATCTTGCAGCCAATGTCATGGCAACAACAGCAAACTGGTACTAATAACGCATGTATACAAAATGATGTGCACACTTGTTAAAATTTTATTAAAGGTAAAGGTACAGTAAGTTACAGTAAAGGTAAGCAAAATGTCAAGAGAGAAATATGTATTCAGTCACATGAACTCATCATTTGGGCAAGTCTCTACCAGCTTTGCACATCAGGTTGATGCAATCTTTCCCCGTTCTTGGCAGAAAAAGCTCTTGCAAGGTTTTTGGGGATCATTTATGGACAACAGCTTTCCTCAATAGGATTAATCTCCAGGTCATTCAGAGACATTCACTTTCTTCTTAATGCTACACTGGAGTGGCTTGAATCATTGTCTTGCTGAAAGGTGAATTTATGTTTCTGATTTATATCTGGTGCTCATTTCCCTCTACAATTTGCACCCATCACAAAGCTACCACCACTAGGCGAGACAGCTGGGGATGGCTGTGCAGTAGGCAGTCAGTCAGTATGTTGGTTTGGCATCATGCAAGGTTTCACATTTAAACCAAAAGGTTCACATTTTGTCTCGTCAGACCCTAAAACCCTTTGCTACATTTGCAGTAGCACATAGATGCTTAATTACAAACTAGATGCAAGATAAATGTTTCTCAGTTCTATACAAACCCTTTGTGGCATGGTTGGGCTGTTGTTAACCAGTCACTATTTTCTCCCATATTGGCCACAGAATTTCATAACTTGCTTGCTGTCGGACCCTCAGTGGCCTCCCTAACTACTTTCCCCCTTGCTTAGCTGCTCAAGATAGAGGGAGAGCCTTAACAAGTTACTGTGTGGGTGCCTTCTACTTCAAAAGGCTAATTCATTAGGCTTTACACAATGCCTAAGAGACCTTTCAGAGACCAGTGTAATTAGTTTGAAATCATGTGAACCATTATCAAACAGGGAGGCAACTCACATAATTGTGTGGCTTGTTTAGGTGATTTTGTGCACCTAAATTAATTTGTTTGCTAAACCTTAAACCTAAAGGGCTGAAATACACAATCATGATTTTGTTTTTCTTTCACATTTTTTTTTTCCCCAATGAATGGAGTAGTTTATGTATAACAAAAAACAACTGCTATTTTAAGTGTCCTGACTGCAAGCTTAAAAAAAAAAAAAACCTGGGCAAGGGTCTGCTGAGCTTCAGTGGGCTGCCCATTGTGAGTTGCAGATATGGCTGCTGGAATAAACCTATTACTTTGCAGCCTACGCAGGATGACGCAGCTACCCAGCTGAACATATTTAAAAACAGGTCAACAAGGGTGATATCCACAGTATTCCAGGCTTGACTTGAATAGTGTTATTTCATCAATCATCTGCTTTCAAAGCTCTAATGAAGTTATTAAACAATTAACTACATTCATTTTTCTTTCATTTTCCTTCATAGTAATAGTACAAAAATATTTCAATATACTGTAGACTAAGACAATTATAGGTACAGTATCAATATGATCAAATATAAAAACTGTAGTTACCCATTCTATTATTCCAAGTTAATGTAAAGGTTTAAAAATACATTTTAAGTGTGCTTAATAAGTGGTTTCTGTGTTTTAGTGGATATTTTTATATTATTTTTAAGATTACCTTTTTTTTTTGAATTTCTGAAAGAATTTAGAAATGTCGTAGAAACCAGGATGAAATATTTGAATAACAACTTTCCGCTTCTGTTGGAACCCAGTTTGATGCCAGGTGTAGCGCAATGCAGTGACAACGCAGGCAGCCAGATGGCGGCCATACAGCTGTGCCCTGGAGCAGCAGGTGGGAACAAGGGAAAAATCCCAGCTCAACTACTACACTGCGTTTCTAACCAACTCAACAACATCACATTTATTTCTTAAATACAGTAAAAAGGCAATGTTATATGTGCATTTTTTTCTAGTGTATAGAAACACCTATTGGCAATCTTGCATTAGAACTACAATATAATCTGGTTTTTAAAACTCCTGTTCAGATCCTTGTGGGGGAGAACGATGGAGTTGAGAATAATCACTTCTGACGGGATGGTCACGTTACAGCCTGAAAAGTAAAAAATATGTTTTTTTGCTTTCATATAATCAACCTACACTACACAACGTTGTGATTTACATATCCTGCTGCAAGGTCAATTTCAAGAGATTTTCAACTTGCAAAATTTACATGTAAAATGTATCACATCATTACAGCTTATCACAGGAAAGGACTTGATAATCACATCCATTACAGTTTATTACAGCAGAGGACTTGATAAATGACTGTCCTTCAATATGTTCTTGTGAACAAGTGATTCTAACATCTGGACCTTAAAGGCCACAATGCACCAGTTTGTAAGGAGCTCATCATCCTGTCTGGAATTCATGAATCAGGGTGGAAATTTAATCCTGAAGACATGGCAGCACTCGGGACCAGGAGCAGGCCTGGACCAAGGAGTGGGGTCTGCTGAGATCTGGGTCTTTTTAGACCTTTCAAGTGACCACGGGTTGGACTTTCCAATCATTTTAATATGATGGTAACTTTTTGCATACAAAATATGTAAATTACACTGTTCATAAATAGGTCAAAAGTATTTCTACTTTGATAATACCATACTCACCCAGAATTGTTATTGAAGGTGTAAGTTTTCCATCCCTGAAAAGCGTCTCACTGTCTATTTTAGCATAAGGGTCATTGGGGTTGGGGTCACTTGGTGTGCCCTCAACCCGTGCCCACCGGCCGATCGTACTGTCCCATCCAACAATGCTGTTGAGGACACAGCTGTGATCCTGAGTAAAACATTAAAAAATAATAAAATTGCTCACAAAATGCTTTCAACTCACATGTCAGAGTGGCAGATTTTGGGTAGCAGCTTAGCTCTCAATAGCTACTAAATGTGTTTTTCTGGATGTGAAAGCTGTTAATGCGTTAAGTATGTGATGGTCACCTGCAGAATGGCACCATGAAGAATGATGGACTCTCGCACTCGAACTCCAGCTCCTATTGTCACTCCAGTGCCGATGGAGACGTTGGGACCCAACTGTGGACAAACATTAAGCCAAAATGAACACAGGAGTTCCTGTAAATCATTCTGATCCTCGTTCTTTCCCTTCCCCTTTGCTCACTCTGTGGACATTGCTGTCTCTATGCCTCTCCCCCTCCTGCTCTGTCACTCGACCCCTCCAACCACTGTTCCCAGCATGTTTCCACTCTGGCCTGATCCAGCCGTTACTTTCTGAGCAACACTCCTAGAATCCACCCCACCCTTACTAGCCATTCCACACAACTTCTAGCCCAGTAATATGAATTATTAGTATTATTAACAAACCTTGCATATGTACAGCACTTTCATCCCAAAGACTGAATATTATGAAGACCAGAGTACACAAGCGCAGGATACAATTGAGTCAGGACACTTGTAATTCCAACCCACCTCTTTTTCAAAACTAATTATGGGATTTTTACTGACTATGTCAGGACCACACCATTGTGATGTCTCATCTGAAGGATTGCACACTTCAATCAGAGTGAGCCTGGTTTGAAAATTCTAGCGCAAAGGAAAAGGCTGACATAAAGAAGGGAATTCCAGTTTGTGAGCATGGAGCAAACTACCCAGACAGGTGGCTGAAGTCGATACCCTGGCTTTTCCCAAGAAATAGTTGGATGAGATCACTTGCCTACTAAATACCAAACAAGACAGAAGGACAGGGTGTTTGCCTCTCTTTTGTAAACACAGCTAGCAGCCCACTGCAGTTCAGCAGGTGTGAGTCAGGCCAGTACCTGGATGGGAGACCTCCTGGGAAAGTGAAGAGGTGTTTGTGGGGCCAGTAAGGGGTGCTCATCTTGCGGCCTGTGTGGATTATAATGCCCTAGTATGGTGATGGGGACACTATACTTTATAAAATACATTGTCCTTGTGATGAGACGTAAAACCGAGGTGCTGACTTAAAAATCCCAAGGCATTTCTCGAGTAGAAGAGTAGGGGTTACCCCGGTGTCCTGGCCAAATTTTCCCCTGGCCTTCACCACTTATGGCCTCTTATAATCTCCATCTATGAATTGGGTTCATCTCTCTTTTTTTCCTGCCCACTGATAGCTGATGTGTGGTCGGAGTACTGGCACACTTTGGCTGCTGTCGCATCATCCAGGTGGAGCTGCACATTGGTGGTGGTGGAGGGGAGTTCCTATTACGTATAACATTCTTTGAGTTAAGTGTCCAGAAAAGTGCAATATAAGTGTAAGGATTATTATTAAGCACATGCATTTCACATACACATGCATTTCATTTCCAGTGTGAGCTAGAATTATTGTCATTGTAATAATAATTTCTGTCTTTCTGTATGTGATTTCACCTTGTACTTCTACTAAACGGAAACTTCTTATATTGCACTTTTTCCTGAATAAGGCCATCTTCTCAGCAAATAAATAATCTCTCCATAATCAATAGCAGCCTTGTTGAATTACAGTTGGGTTTAGGATTTGATTTAAAGAAAGGCTTAAATATAGGCTTATTACAAGCAACTGTACAGAACAGTCCTGTAAAATAACTTGCATTTGTACAGCTACAATAACCTATTAATGATAATAACTGTTCATGGCATAATTTGTCTGAAAAAAAAAAAACATTAAACTGTCCTGAATGCAGCTTGATTATTTTGAGTACACAGGAGTAAGCCCATTGTATATGTTTTTATAATATTGTAATTTTAACCGTAATTACTGTAGCACAATTTTAATGTCAGTTAAACATTCTGCCTCTGTAATTGTAATTAATGGTGCTGCGGCAGTCTCTAACAATGATGTGAACACCTGCTTAACTGCTCTGTAGCAGCAAGAATTCAGTATTTGGTAAACTTTCACCTGCTTATATTTTTTTTTACTGTAGTTAAACGCTTTCAGAAAACTTCTTTTATACACTTTTCTTGTTAACAAAAGCTAATCACATTAAATGAAATATTTCATTTTATTTACGTGTCAATGCTTACCACAGCAGTGGAGTCGATGTTGGCAGTTGGATGAATGTACACGTTGCCTGTAAAAAGATCATATGTCAGCCTGAAAACAGAATTAACCCCAGACTAAAGAAGACAAGAGTCACAGGCAGCACCATTACCACTTATCTTGGGCCCTCCTTCTTTATTAGAAGCAAGTCTTTCAGGGTGAGTTCTGTGATACTGATTTAGGTACAAACGGCTGGCGTAGATGGCTGATCTGTCAGGAAAAACAAATTAGTTTTAAAAGGCTGCAAGTGACACTGTGGCGCCGTGGCTAGCATTGCTGCCTCGCAGCGCTGGGACCCTGGCTACAGTTCCGGACTTGGGGTTCTGTCTGCATGGAGTTTGTATTCACATGGGTTTCCTCCAGGTTCTCAGGACTCCTCCCACAGTCCAAAGACATACTGGCAGGTTAACTGGGCTTTGGGAAAACTGACATTGGTGTGAGTGTGTGCATCTCTGTGTCTGTGTGTGTCCTGCAATGGACTAGCGTCCTGCCCAAGGTGTACCCTGCCTTGCACCTGTCAGGCTTAGAATAGGCTTCAGCGACCCTGCAACCCTGAATTGGAAAATGTGCTTAGAAAATGGACAAATGGATTGAAAAGGCTGCTTTGATGCCAACTCAGTCACTTCACTGAGATTAAGCTTTTTGCTGGAGAACTGTACTCATGGACCACATTAAACACAGCACGTTACACATGAAACAGAAAACGGTGGTGCTAAACACGTACCCTGCAGATTTGATCTGGCTCCAGAATCGATCTGTTTTGTACACATAAAGCTTTCCTTGCCCTGCCAAAGCAGTAAAGATGTCCTGTTCCAAGCGAATAACTTCAGCACGCTGCCACCCGTTCACCTGCTCCTCCCTGCAGAATAAAGACAAATACACACACTGAACTGCTAGTCACTCTGGCGAGAACAAATTAATTGGCTGGTTTCCTTGTGTATTCTTCACCCTTCCATCTTCTCAGTGCTTGGTTTCATATCAGGACACAAGCATCTCGGATTACACACAAAGTACTCTGGTAACCTAGGCCACCCGGCATCCCGCCCCAGTACAACACGCAACATGAACAGGTGCCACAGACAGCTTTGTACCTTCAGGTATACGCAATATTTAAACCGAACACAATTGTTAACCCACTAACAACTTTGCCATTTAAACTATTTGAAGTTCAAAAAAGGAAATCAAAGAAAAATGTAAGAAAATAGACAGAATGTTCTGAATGTAGAATTTAAAAGCTACTGCAAATGAATGAAAATGTTTAAAAGCTTCAAGCTGGTCTGATAATCTTACATGGGAACTGCTGCAATTCTTAGCCCAGTGACTACACAGAATGCCCCAGGCGATGCTTAAAAATCGTCATCAAGTTTTAATGTACACATGGCAGAAATAAATTAACGCGTGACTGCAGTCAGACGTTTAAAAAAAAAAAAGTCTTACAGAACAATGTAACACTTACTATAATTAACTTTTCTAGAACATATTTGATTCCCAAGTTGATCTTAAGTATTTTAATAATCTTTATTATCTTTAAATAATACATGACCTGTAAACACAAAGACGTGCAATTTGTACAGTACATTTCTCCATTATTCAATTTTATGACAACGTTTAGCTATAAGGTTAATAAAATATATTACTCCTCCACTGTGACCAGTTAATCTAAACACTAAGATGTTATGAAATCCGAACCTTAAATACTGAAATGTTTACTGAAAACTTGTGTTTTATTAAACTCCTGAAACAATTGTGTTTTTTACTGCAGTATTGCTTGGCACAACAATATTTATCTCAATTTCACAAACCTTTTCATGTCTCAAAAATAATTTTAATATTATTTGTGCAGCCTGATCTGTAGTTACTTTTTTGCCACCCATGACAGGGACAGCTGGTTAAAGCTTTATAAAAACACGCCACAAGTCTATTTGTTTTTCTTCACACCCAAAGTACTGACTTACCCCTCATAAGGATACCTGATGACAGGGTTCAGGAAACAGAATGGTGGCAGAAGAGGGGAAAGGAAAAAACAAGAAATGAATAGAACTGAGGTAAGGAAAAGACTAAATGAGAAGGACAAGCTTTCCCAGGCCCTCTGCCCAGGGGTGCTCGCATACGCACAGCAACAGGTCCTGCTGGTTCTTCTGAAAGACCGCTCCAATGTGCTGGAAGATTTCCGGTGTGAACAGGTAAATGCCACAGTTGATAATATCACTGACAAACGTGCTTGGCTTTTCCACATAGTGCAACACCTAGATGGGAAACAAAAATAATATGTGCATTGCTCATTTTTGTGCCATCCCCTTCGCATTGCTCCCACAGTTTTAATATTTTGAAGATTGTACTCCAACACAAGTAACCTTCTAACACTATGAAAGCTTGTGAGCTAAGCAACTGAATTTCCTAAAACAAAAAAGCTTTAACAAGGAAAACCTAAAAATCACCAACTTTCTCCATAAATTGTGTTATATTTAAACTACATCCATTTAACCCAGTTAGATAGGGTATAAATTAGGGTATCAATTATTACCTCGTTAGTTTGTTGGTTTTCCACAATGCATCCATAGTTCATGGACTGTTTTCTGTTAGCCTAAAATATTAAAAATACTAACAATTACATATGAATTGACACGGTATTTAAAATCACTCAGAATTGTGTTTAGTACTGCAAAGAAAAACACTGGGCAAGATTCCATCAACCAAATAAAATGTATTAAGCATTAAATACTAACAAAAAATAAATTTGAAGACATGAAAAGTTACATTACATTAATAAGACACCTAATAAGCTACAAGAAGAATGCATAGCACAAAGAGACTAAATAATTTAAAGAAACATAACTAACGTTGAATTATGACTTACATCTCTACAGACACACATACTGCGCTCCAAGACAAATTATATAGAAGCCACCAAGCAAAAACTGTATTCAAACTGCCTGAAGGTGTATGAGAGAACTGTCAGATAGATAAATCTTCACTGGACTGCTTACAGTGGTACCAAGAATGACAAAACTGTGTGGATCTCCATGTTCCTTCTGGAATTGCAACATCTCAGGCAGCGGGAACTCGGAGCACACGTCCGCGTTCATGACGAAGAACGCCTCCGGACCCCCCGACAGAATCTGGTCTCTGAAGTGGTAGATCCCCCCCCCAGTGCCCAGCGCGGCGTACTCCTGGAGATACCTGAGGACAGGCCCAGAACACACAACCAATGGGCTTCTTGGCTCCACACTGCACACACATCTTTAAATGCAAAGGCCAGCTGAAGATGGTTCTTACATATACGTTCGAAAACAAACTCTTCACCAGTTTCATAGTCTAAAAAAAGTAGGACGTGTCCTAGACTTATGTCATTCACCATTGTTTTTATCAGTTACCTTACCATTAGAGGAATGAATCTGAAGGCTTTCTTGTCTGTTTTTGTTTGTCAATATCTCTTTACGAAACAAACTTTAATTAAAAAACTATGCTCTTTTATAAAAGAATATCAACATAAGGCATCAAATTAAAACTAAAAATGTTCTTTCCATAATTCGAAGTAACAGAGCAGTTTAGGCATATTTAAGACACACAATATCATGTTAATAGGCAGTTACTGGACGATTTGACCCCATTACTCTAGAGAAAGAAGACCAAAACTAGCATGGTGGGCACAATGATCTCTCCTTCATGGCTTCCCGATGTTCTGCGTGTTCCATATATTGGGATGTTGCACATACAACCTACTCAGTGACAGTTTGGGTCTTGCCTGCAATGAGTGCCAGTTAATACCACTCAGGCATTAGAGACTATCAACTGTTTGAGGACTTTTAACTTTCAAACAGGGAAGTTTTTTTTGCTATGTGTATATATATTAATTTGTGGGAAATAAATTCTTAGTGGACTTTTAAAATGTCAGCAATTCAGTGCAGTCTTAAGACACGAAGATGAAGTAAAAAACATGTTTATTAAAAATGTCCCTTAGAAACACAATATTGTAGTCCTGTCTACTTTAAGATAAGAACCAAGTTTTGAATGTTCATGGCCATACCTTATAGGGATTTTAAATTCCTGTTGTGAACAAGACAGAAATCGAGTGAGTTCTTCATTTGGTTGGTAAAAACCTACAAGTAGGATCTCTTTCATATTTGGTACCTACAAAGACAATAAGAGATATAATGCACTTCAAGGAGGTGAACTTGTTACAGATCCTTGTATAGATCAGTAGAGTTCAGTTTTACTGGTAGCAATTATGTATACAACTGCATTTGGCGTTTTGATCCAGTACCATGCTACTATCAGCAATGGCCAGTCAGGTCGGGAAAATATTCTTCTAATCACGTAAGGGCTCGTACGTGACCGGTCTAACCGCCTTTGACGCCTCCAGTGACAGCATCTGGAAGTTGTGCAAGGGAACCTGCTTCTGTCGTTGACTGCAGCCAGTAGGTGGCAGCCATTTCCCACGATTACATGGACTAAAGTACTTCCGTCTATAAGGCTATAAGACGAGATCATGTCAGTAACCAACACATTAACTCCTAGTGTGATGAATGAATGAAGACATATTGCGGTTGCGTGTTCAGCTCCAGTCTATAGCTGCTTAAAAATCAGACCCGGCTCTGCCTAATATACATACACATACACATTTAAGTACAGCTCAGACTCCCCAAAACTCCTAAAGCTGGTTTAATTGATAAAAGCTTGTATTTTTAAATCTCATCTTAATAATTGGAGTGGTTCACTTCCAACGTATAAATACCAGAATATCTGAGGTTCATATGGGTCCGCAGGACTAGCAATCGCAATCGCACTGAAAAACGGTGGAGAAGCCCACAAGCTCAACAGCCCAGTCGTTCAATATTCAGAGATGGTTGTTTAAAGCAATCTAAAACAACCTGAATAGTCGAATAACCTAAAGCAACTGAAGCACCAGCAGAGGTATCGATAAGACGGAAATCGAGTCGGCTGACCTTCGCACAAGCTTCGATGTGGTGTTGGAGCATCGGAACCCCAGCGACTGGGAACAGGGGCTTGGGAACCTCAAAGGACAGAGGCCGAAACCGAGTGCCTGGGGGAATTCAAAGGAGAAAAAAATCTTGTTTTTCCAAAAGCGATAGATTATCATCAATTTACCGCTTCCAGATACAATTGTAAAAGTAGTATTTCTTCCTGCCTTCACATCTGACAGTTTATCACTTGCAAATATCATTTACCCATATGGGGCTTGCAATGAATGAAGCAAACAACAAGCAACTTCAAACTGACAAGCTGAAACTGTGCCCCCGCTCCTTCACCGACTAGATGCACGTCGCCACGTCATCAAAACAGCTGATAAAGATAAGAAATAGGAGAAAGGCACGCGAAATCACACACGTTTTTCTTGCCCCGTGTAGTTTTACCTTTCTGTGGGCCTCCAATCAAGATCACAGCTTTCAACATCTTCTCTGCGTTAACAGTCCTGTAACTGAGAGGCAGTGTCACCGATCCGTCAATGTTCAGCTGTTGGGCTTTTCCGTGTGAGCATAAGCCAATTTCCAGTTGCGTAGAATAATACAATAATGCCAAGGTACCGCAAAAAAGTGCTCAGATGAACTGACTTCAAGAATTATCTCCGTTCTAACCCGCAAAATTTAATAACATTCAACCTTGCAGGATGAAAATACTACACAGCTCCACGTACACCCGATCTTCAAGTTTGCAGTATGCGTCTCAAACAGATGACGTATGAGGTGAGGAGGATTCTGGGAGATGTAGTACCGTTCCAACAGAGAGCTCAGGAAAAACACACCTTGTATCATCTGCAACTATTTAAGGTCAAGTTAGTAGCAGGCTGCAAAGGAACAACTAAAGGTTTATTCCATGCTAAAAAGAGAAGAAAAGAAACAACGTTTCGGCTGTGGAGCTTTACTCAGATTACTTGAGTGTCCACTCTCCTACTTCCCTCCTGCTCCCCACTCCCAGTTTATCATTTCCCATGCTTGATCAGCTGCTGACTTTCCTCTCCAGGAGACCGTTAGACATTAGTAGCCTATTTGGTATTCAGTAGATAATTGATCCACAGAACTCATCCAGCCATTTCTTAACTGTACTATTCAACATTTCTGGGTAGCTAGTCCCACTCCTTTACTTTGCAAAACTGTGAAATTGCAATACATTGCACTGATCCTTAAAGATCAGCATTGTGGATTTCATGAGAGAATCACAGTGATACTGGAGGGCAGATGATGTCTCCATGCCTAAAAGAGTTCAACATGAAAACATCAACTAATAATAAACCAATTTTACATGGCATCTTTAAATGCACAGTACAGAACAACATTAAAAGACAAGGACAGTGAATTATATTTTCATTGCATGTGTTAGCAGTACATATACTTGATTGATTGTATCACGAACTCTAACCCCTTGTTGAGAATTACTGACCTGGTCAAACAGCGATCAGCTGTTTGTACCAAAATACAAAGCCTGAATATATTAGTCCTGGATCCTATCTTGAAAGTTTTACTATGAACTGTAATTTAGTATAAATACATCACTTCATTAATGGTCTATTAGTACACTATTCTAAAAGGAATACAAATGAAAGCAGACACTACAGAGTTGGAACTAAAAACCTTTAATGTTTGATCAAAATATAACTTCAGATGTTGTCTTTAGTCCTTCTATCATCTGGTTTTCAGACATTTTACCGAAATGGGTTGGTTTTGTTGGAGGACATAAAAGTGTTTCCCGGATTCCTTTGTGAAGAAAATGGTGCAAAATACTCAGCAGCAAATGAGAAGATATCATTGGGTTTTCTCAGCAGTAAGAACTGAAGGAAGTCTGCCATTAGGACTTTGAGTTCAGGATGGTGTCTCACATATGAAGCATGACTTGCTTTTAATTCTTCCTGTAATGTAAAAAATACAAAGATTAAATAATTTCACATCCTGTTCTTAGCTAAAACTAGTAATAGCTAAAATTACTTGAGGGGTTCTTTCACTGATGTGAGCATTGTATTTTACCTTTTTTGTACCACATATACTTTATTTGATTTAACAAGTTATTTGTTGATGATATTTAACAGACATGTATACAACAATGTATAACTAAGCTATTTATCATTAAATAGGATACATGTTGATCATATAGAATACTGCAAACTAGCATTGCAAACTCCTGAATTAAACAGAAAAACATACCAAGACAGTACTTTTTTTTACCTTCCTATCAAGAAACCTTGAGTACAGTTGCATGTCTTCTTCCCAGACCAATGGTTTCTTCTCAATTACAGTTTTAATCTCTTTCTCATCTGAAACAATGTACATAATAAACGGACACTTAATTCTGGGTGCAACCATGTGCAAAGTTTAGGTAGAGTCAAACTTGCACTACAGAGCAAATGTAATTAATACACATGCCTTCTTAACAACCACCTTTTTTTAAAACAAAGTAACATTTCATTTACAAATTAAAATGAAAACAAACATGGTTAAAATTTTAAACATGCTAGGTATGTGTAGTGAATATTCATGTGAAGGATATCTTTAAAAGTATTTTTTTTAAGTTACATTTTTAAAAAACAAAATTACCTCTTTCTGTTTGTGTAGGCATTTGCATAAGCTTCATCATCACTGGAGATCCAACTTGCACTCTGCTTGATAAATGCCTGAAAGATATTGCAGTTCTTCAAAGTGCTTTTCTTACCAGTTAATAAAACAACACATACTGTATTTCTTTACATTCAGTGTGTCATCCATCACAGTACAACCTAAATAAGTAAATATTACTATCATTTTGCTGAGAAGAAGAAACACATGGCTGCTACAAAATCAAGCAAAAACATTTAAGATTATTTTTCATGATCAGTGTGGCAATAATTAAAAATCATTTCAATGTCTTTGGGTCAGATTAGACAATGCAGAAAAGAGGAATAATATATAAAATGCTTTAATACCACCTCCAGGGTGTTAAAGGTTTAGATCTAAAAAGCAATGAAAAGTAGGCTTACCATTATTTCCTTATGCACTTTAAATGAATACAATTATTATATATTTTAGTATATTCATATTTTATTCTTATTTCAAGTCTTTCGTCCATCCATGTTCTAACCACTTCATCCAATTAATGTGCCTTGGGGGAGCTGGAGCCTATCCTGGCAAGTAATGAGCACAAGGCAGGGCACACACTGGACGAGATGCCAGTCCTTAGCAGGGCAAACAGACTAGAGGTTTGCTACACGACCCGAGCCCGACGGGGCCTAACAAAATATTAGGTTACGGGCCGGGTTCAGGTCGGTTTTTCATGTACAATATCAGGCTCAGGCCGGGTTCAGGTTTGTTTTCTAATAAGTGAAAATGAATTATTATTATTTTGTTTTAAATTAGCTCATTTTGCACGCTCGCTCTCTCTCACTCTCGTACGTGTGTTACAGAGCCTACCTAACTAACTGTTCGCAATGGATGAAATAAAATGAAAATCACAAACTACTCAAAATGCCAAATGAGTCGGGGACAGCTTCGTTATGGAAACAGTATAACAACAGATAAAAAGCTCACTGGTCACGTACAGTGTAGGGCTTCCAATGCTATTTTGATTTACGATAGGCAAATGGTTTATTATCGTACTCTTCTGTGCTGTGCTCATGGGCCCCTGTGCCTTGCTGTGTAGGTAAGCTACTGTTTATTATCCCATATGGAAATAAAATACAGCCTATTGAAGTATGATAATTATTGCCAGGTAGGATAATCAATTCCATAAAAATATACAATAAAAATTTGTGTGCTGGTGTGTTGGCTTGCATGACTTTATGATGAGGAAGGTAGAAACCAGTAATGCCTGTGCACATATTTGCTTTGCTTATAGCACTTCGTTTTTTAGTAGGTCTATTACAGTTATCAGCCATTCCCCACTTTCAAAAGTATTACAGATTTATAAAATACCAGTTTTTCTCAGCGCACAGCATTTTCTGTCAACTTCTATCAACTCAAGCGCACAGCAGCCGAGCAAAGCATTGTAAAACCGCATATGTGAGAATCCTTCTCTGTGTGTGCAGGTGTGTCTACTCGCTCTGAGAGGAAGGGTCTCAGGGTCGGGTTTCAGTTCTGGCAGTACCATTTGGGCTTGTTCGGGTTGGGTCTCAGGGTCTCGGGTACGGGCTGAGTTCGGGCTTCAATTTCATGCCCGTGCAGACCTCTAAAACAGACATACACTAACACCAGAGCCAGTTTTCCCAGAAGCCAATTGACTTACCAATATGTCTTTGAACTGTGGGAGTAAATCAGAGCACTTTGTTGAAACCCATGCAAACACTAGGAGAACAAACAGACAATGTGCAGACAGAAGCCCAGGTGTGGAATTGAACCCAGGGCCAATGCTAACTATTGCTCTGCCCTAAATGCCTTCAATTAACTTTATATACTACACTGTAAAATCATTTTCCACTTTCCTTGCCCTTCATTCATTTAGTGTACTATTTGTGTTTAGTGTACTATATTGTGTTCAAGTCAGGTCAAGTTCAAGAACTACAGTTCAGATTGTAGACTAGATTTGTAAGGTTATAGGTAAGCCCCTCTTACCCATCAGAGAGAAAGTAGCTGTGCCAGGTGGTAGGGATGTCATCTTCTGACTGAACTGTTCTTTCAATGCCAAACACCTCAGTCCCCTCCTTTTCAATGGTCTGGTTCTTGACCCCTAGCTCTTTCTGGGACATAAAACAGTGCAGAAGAAAGTGTGTCCAGTTCATCGTCGTACAGAGATTCTGTTCTCATCTTGCCTCACAATCAGATAAAGGATTGGTATGTTAAATTGTTTTTTTTCACATCATTAAAATTATACACTGCATGAAAATCATAAACTGAAAAGGGATTGTATAAGAGTGGACATTAAGAGCCTTTTGAGTCTTACATCTTTGAATTAAATGTAACAAGTTTTTGCCAGTGGTTCATCTTTCACCTTATTGATGTGCATGCTTAGCTTATTTTATTCCACACTGCCTGGCAGAGGTTGGGGTCAATTTGAGTTTTTCTATTCCAGTTCCCCCTTTCAAACTAATTCCTGATTACATCCATGTTATTGATGTTGGGAATTGTAACTGAATATCTGGAATTGCCCCTTACCATGTTGCCTGGCATTCATCCTCATTTCCCAATTGAACATTACAGTAATTTAAATTACCATTCAATATTTCCTGTAAAACAAGAATGAAAACTTACATAAACCGAAGTACAGATGTGAGTCTCTGCATCAAATGCAAGAAATATCATGCTCTCTGGAACATGCCTTCTCTTTGCAAGTACCCGCAAAATTAGAAGGTTAGAGGCCTCTGACACAAACCCTTCGAGAGAACTCAAGGGAACTCTGAAGGACTGTTTCTTCACATCCTAAACATAAACAAAAAACATAATAGAGGATGTGCCCATTTCAAAACGCTGAGTGTACAGGTCTCTTGTTGTAAACTACCCACTGAGGCAGTTCCCAAATGACATCTGCATTTGTTCTCTTTATCTTTGGACTTTTTTCTTCTTTAAAGAAAATACTACTTAGATATCTTAAGTATTTTTTATTTATTTTTTTACTATATTCATCTTACAATCTTAATCTTAATCTTTTCCTTACAGTTCTTTGGACCATAATTTAAATCACTAAGACTGTACTACCCAATTAAATATTATCCATTACTGTTAGGTCACACTGACATCCACAAGTAATTACCTCTCTTTCAGTAATAATTTTGTTCACTACCAGATGATCATCCTGTCTGATGAGGTGTGACTTTCTGTCCAAAGGATGATCCCGAAGCTGAATTGAGGGAGGATTAATAACCATTGAGTTTTCCATTTTACATCTCAGTCATAATACAACAAATAATTGCAATGTTACTTTTAATTACTTTTAAATATTTATCAAACTGAACAGTTTAGGGAACAGTTTGTTTCAAAATGTTGCAATTATTTTACGTGAAATATCGTGTGAAAATATATTTACAATGTGGGAACTAAAAGCCCTCTCAAGGTTATGTATTAACTTAAAACACTTAAGGTGTATCGTTAGTCATTTACAATTCCACTGCATTGCAAAGCACCACTAGGTGGCGCATACAGCCGCACTTTATTAAGTTATGTACAAGTAAGGCCTCTTCCGCTACAATTTGGAGCCCAAACACGATCTATAAATACAAGTAGCAGGGTTACATCCTGTTTTAGACACGCATTGGCTCAGTATCAGTCACTTAATTGTATTTTTTTGTATTGTAACACCTGACATTATTCCAGTTGATTTTAGAGCTGGAGTTGGTATTTTTAAAATCAAAAGACATAAGAATTAAATACTGATTTAACAGAAATATTTATATATTGAATATATAAATAAAATAACCCCAACAGTTGAAAAGTTTGTTAACAGCGTGCCAAGACAGACGATGAATGTACTGTACTGTAGATACCTTGACGTATTCATGATGGTGCTGCTCCAGTGTTTCAAGTCTCTCGGATACATAAGCTTATAACAAAAACAAGAAAACTGTCAGCAGATCTCATGCTCTTTGTACACAACATTTGTGCTTGATACATTTGCTTCCTATTCTTTATACCTAAAATATCACCAAAGATTATTAAAAACCAAATACTTGCATCTCTTGGTTCATTAAGACTGATCTACAAATGATAAATAAATGCAACTTTTCCACATTTGTTTTCAAATATCTGTAAGAACACAAAAATGGTTACAAACACAAGACAAGGAGGCTATTTGAATCCCAGCAGTTAATAGATCCCAGGATCTCATTCAGCCGATTCTTGAATGAAGCCAAAGCATTAGCTTCAATCACACGACTCCACACTCACACAACCCTATGGGTAAAGAAGTGCCTCCTTTTCTGGCTTTTAATGTACTTTCATATTGTGTCCACCGTAGACCTCTGGTTTGTGTTTGTTCATTCAGAAGAATTCCTCTGTATTTGCCATGTCAGTATTTAGAATACTTGTTTCAGGCCATCTCATAATCTTCTCTGCTCAAGACTGAAAAGGTCCAGTTCCTTCAGCCTGCTAATGTGGGTGGATTGTGTGAAGTCCCAGAATGCATCTGTTAGCTGTTCTCTGAACAGATTCTTGAGCATCAATATCTTTGAAGTCGTGACTAAATCTGACTAAATTCCAGATAGGATCTGATTTTAACCACAGCCCTCAGAGGTCTTAATAATATTAACACAAAAAACACACTTTATACTATAGGTTAGGCTCTTGTACATCTTAGTGAAATTGCATAAAGCATTAAGCTAGAAGAGTTAAAACGAAGGCATGAAGATTCAATTGTGACAATTCTGTGAAATTTATCTCTGGGTTTAACACAGTGCAGAAACTTAAGTATCAGCTGTAGAGCATAAGGCGTGGTTAATCTTTTGATTAATGGATGCTGCTAGCTCACTTACCCATGACAGAAGTTCCACAAGGTATGTCATCAATGGAACCGTGGCTGTTAGCATGAATTAGGTAACACATCTCATTGTTATAGACAGCATTCTCAACAGTAACTGTGAACTCTCCAAGTTCCCTTCCAGTATCTGAAACGGTCACTAAGGAGTCAGCAAAAAGGCACTGCTGCAATTCCTCTCTCGCTGGGAAGAGATGTGTTTGCATTAGAGGTTTGCTTCTCCCTAGCAGTTTAGTTCCAAATCAATTTTTAATGACCTTCTCATGGACTTCCTTCTAGGTCTTAAAAAATAGACTAACAATAAATATTCATATAGTACTTAGATAATGGAAATGCATTACAGAACAAAAGCAGGAAAGTGAAGTCTATTCGAAATTAAGTACTCACTATCATTTAAATGTCTTTATTTGTGTAAATGTCTTAGGACAGTTCTCTTTTATATTAAATAGAATATAAACCAGTATCTGAATTGTTAAATTAACAGTGATTTCTTGGATTGCACAGCAGTTTGTGCAATAAGTTATTGGACTATGGCATTACAGCTAATGTACTCACAGGCACAAGGCTGGAAAACTATTCTGCATGCAAGTGGCTCCTATCAAAACCAGATGGTTACATCAACACTTTAGCAGTTATATTCTGAGTGCTACTTTTAACCTCCTTTGTCACCATCATAAGATGCGCCAAAGCACACATTCTCCTTACGTTAGTAACTGTAACACGTTATTGTATGTTTACATTTAAATGCATGATACAATGATCAGCAGGAAAATAAATGACTGATTAAGCAAGATAACTTTGGAAAATGAACTGTTTGTTCAAGTAAAATAAGCTGACATTTTTAGTTGCTAAACTTGATCTAACATAAAAGTACATTATATCTGTAAAAACTGTTAGATCCTGAACAAGTCTTTTGAATGGTAGCTTACCAACGGTGGACATGAACTCAACAGCATCTGTGCTAGCTTTGGCCTCCGAGTGGTCCTTAAATTCGGCCATGAATAACTCTCCAGGACTTCAAACTGCTCCAAGTTAATTCGCAGGATATACGCGAGTGTTAACAGATGGAGACAACACAGCTATGAAAACTCCCGAGATCTCTTAAAGAAATACAGCTAAACCCACGTTTAGAAACAAGCGGGTGTACATGTAAAAACGGCACTGGAATCAGGAGCTCACGGGAACGCTTTAAATCGCACATTTTATCGAGAACACGATCAGATATTTTTGGTGGCTCTTAGGTGTTTTAGCAAGTACAGCATGCAAATTACATAAAAAAGAGGAGACCCTTCATTCACATATTGACGTAGACAAATTATTTAAAAGGCCAAAGGCTAAACAAACATTATACAGCAAAGTAAAAATACGGCTTGCTGACGTATTTTCTACTTTAATCATCTTGTGTGCGCAGCTACAGTCCCTGGCGAGAAGTACTAAAGACCCAAGTTGCCCAAAACCGAAATAAAACGTACAAGGACTAACCTCCGCCCGGCTCTAATCTCATGCACCAAAGTCGTTCATTCTTTCGCAATTATAACTAATAACAAATTAAATAATTAAATAACAAAGGTTTACCTTCCCGCAGAAGGATTTTGTCTTGCCTGACAGAAGGTTTTCTCAACACTATGCAGGACTTTTCCGCAATTCCTCGGTGTTGTTGCCACGGTAACGACGCTACAACCGCAGGCGGTATCGCAGGGAGAGGATTTACCGTATATTTATTGTACGTGCGCACATAAAAAGGGGGCAGTATTTATGACGGTGTATTTTCCAATTTCCAGTTGCTCTGAAATGTTACATGCTCACTCTGCAAATATTCCACACAACCAGTGTCTCACTTCTTCAGCTTGCACAGAGCTTCACCAAATTTGGAATCAACGCTTTCACATACACAGACCAAGCTATACAACTCTTGAGGGGAAACACTGACAAACAACACTGCTGATACATACAGGACGCCCATCTCATTGACAGTAAAAGTAAATATGATATTCACAGAGACACCAATACAAAAGATCGGAAAAACATCTCAGATGAGCACAATTTTATTGTCAAACCCATGTTATTCTGTTGTATTTCTAGTACCTGAAATAATGGACATCCAAAGATCACATTACTGTTATTTTCAAAGGAATAAAAGAGAGAAAGGCTCTGCATCCAAACCTTCACCACATTAAAATTAATCATGCAAACTGTTTTGGGGAACAGGGACATCAATTAAATTATTAACTTTATTAGAAATTTCCATAAAATGTCCGAAGTGCTAACTAAAGGTAACCAAACACTGTCAGGTTTACTGAACGTTGCTGAACAACATAAGATTATATTTCAAACATTAAGTGCTCCATTCTAAAGATGGCAAACTTATTGAAAATATATTAAACTCAAATGTACCAGAATTTGCAGGAGAGACAAGCTCTGCATTCACGACAAGAGTCCCTGGACCTATGCCAGAATGGTCATCATTTAATAATCATTAGTAAATTCCTCTGCTCGATTGATTTAAAGTATGACTATTTCAGCTTGAAAGCCATTAACATTCAACTTCTGAAGTCAATAGTTACGAGTGAATCTGTGCATATTTATGTACCATACACTCAAACCAGATTGCCAACAGTGGAAATTAATTAGGAATTGATTCTCCACTCCAAGTAACATAAGGAATCTGTTTTTTAAAACTTCCATAAATATTAAACACCATTTATTTACTTATGAAACTATCAACAGTGCATATAAAGTATTTATTCAACAGTTCAATGAGCTGAAGCACATTAAAGAAATTTCCTTCCTGAATGAAATTCAGCAGCAGCTGCCACATCACAGTGCACTGTATCTCCAGTGTTTGCTGTTCAATAGCTGCATGTTCTCAGCTCCACAAATCACTTCATGCAGTAGCCTGTTCATCATGAAGGCTTCCTCCATCTTCAGGCAAAGTCAATTATGAAACTCAGCAGCAGGGGAGCAGAACGTGCAGCATTGGTCTCTCAAGCAAACAGTACCTCTGCCTTTTATGTCACTTCAAGTTTCTAATTTTGCTCATGGAATTTAAACAGCATTCCACAGGAATCACCCAAACTCACACAACTTCCACTGAGAGGAATCCCAACATGCACCCATTATCCGGAACTGGGAAAGCCAACAGTTGCATGTTGGAGATTGTTTTTTTCCTTTTGGAAACAGTATTTCCAGACACTATCTGCCTTTGTAAACGTCCTTGCGCCGGCGCAGCTCCTCCAGCACCCGGGCCCTGAAGCATGCCCAGTCCTCCTCCAGCTCCTGCTGCAGGCTGAGAGCCTGGTGCAGCTCCGGGCTGTGGCTGCGCAGGAAAGGGTTGTATTCCTTCTCCTCTCTCATCGTGGACGGGCACTAGAATAGCAACAGACATCAGACAGACTGGCCATGCTGTTGTGTATTTTGTTCACATTACAAAAACAAAACCACATTGCACTTCATGCACAACACAACAGTAATGAAAGACAAACCCCACGTCAAAAACGTATATTAACATACTTATTATTAGTGATTTCATGTTGTCAGGAAGTGTCATTAATTGCATCAGTCATTTCAGCATTATTGTAAATGGACAAATAAGCATTACATCTCAATCCCATCTTTAAAAAAAGTTCAGACACTCCTAAAGCTTAACAAAACGTATTGTCATAGGATTTTTTCATCCATATTAAAAGCTCCAAACATGGTGAATTGCAATACATAGTAGGCCTTCAATTTATTCTCAGACTTTAAAGGTCTGTTAGTACAAAACTGTTTCAAATGTAGTGGGCAGCTTTTTCCTTTTAAAGTGCCTTGGATTGTTGGTGGAGTGATAATATGTTGCAAGAACGTACTTCAGTTCAGTACAAAGATGCCATGTGCATAAGTTCATCTTACAAGGAGTCACGGCTCACCTTCCATTTCATGGGAAACACTTTCCCACAAGATAATTATTTAATCACACCGTCTCATAGATCCCTACCCACCTTTCTACAGCTGGAATCCACTTAAAGCAACCGTTCCCTCCTTTATGAATTCTACATTGATATGTAGAGTATCTCAGAATGAATAAACACTGCTGCACAACCATACAAAAAGTCTGACGTGCCACACACCAACACATCCACACCTGTAGGCAGAGACTGTCATATGGAAGATACATGTGCTCCAGAGACCATCAGAAAGGGACAGCTCGCGGAGAGAATACAGCAGTCTGTAATCTAATAGCATTGAAAAGTCCATCAAACAAATGTTGACAGCTCACCGTACACATTTTCTGCCCTCTTTGCTGTAAGACCCAAAGAAATTTGTTTTCCCTAGCAGCATTGCTTGGCTCAACCTCAGCAGCAAACATAAGGTTATCTTCAGCATACTCGTGACCTGGAGCGAGAGGATTAAAGTGTTGTCATATCTCAAAGAAAACGTTACACATAAAAATGTCATATTTTAAAAACACCTTTAATGACACGGCATATATAATTCAATTTCACCAATATGTAATCACCACAAATTAATAAGCTGTACTGTGCTTAATTTAGAAAATCCCATACATAAATGCAATGTTAAAGTGTTTGGCAATGTGATGACTAGCCCAGGCTTTCCATTTAATTGCACTGTTTGCATGACCTACTCAAGACCCAAGACATTCCATACAGAAAAGAGCTGTATGACCCTTCAGCCACTATAGCACAATCTCCCTTCGAAATACCTATTATGATATTTCATTAGAAACAAGAAACTGGATTTTTTACCAATCAACTATAAATTAATTAAAAAAATAATTTTAAGAAGGTACAGAAATTTTAGGTGGTAATGTACAGCATTCTTCCACATTGAGGCAAATGTTTTTTTTTTCCTTAGGTTCCTAAGCTTAACCTTATACAACTCTCATGTGTGAACTATAGTTGTAATTTAATATTACAAAACGTTATTCAAGTCAGTTTTAAATATGGAGCTTTTCTGCTGTGTTACATTTAAGTCTGTCATACCTGGCCACAACAGGGTGTCATCACTCAAGGAGCCAACCACATCCAGTGAGGAGAGCATAGTAGAGGCATTGCCTTCAAAGATTCTTCCTGCGCAATACAGAGCAACTAGTAAAGACCTTCTCACACAAATCAGCTTTTATCCTACAACACAAACTCAATGACATCCACACTGTTACAGTCATCATCGCCTTAAGTTGCTTTACAGCTGAGCTGTTACCTTGACCTGCATTAATTTTCCACTGTAACCTACAGGTAGATATCATTTCTACTGTTCAGAAAGCAACAAAGTCAACACAGAAGTAACTTTATCTAGAAACAAAAATCTTGCAAAAGAGCTGCACATAACCCTCATCAGAAGCTTTTACCTGTAAAAAGCTTGTAAAAGCAGCAGTTATGTAGTATATCATGGAAAAAGCAGAGCTAAAATGCTTCACATTTTACTTCACAATTAAAGAGAATACCAGTTACTCATCAAAACTAGTGTAGAAAAGCAGCAGTGATAACACAGTCAGGATCACAGCGTGACTGAACTGGGAAAAAATGAATGAAGACTCCTGCCTCGCCAGGTGGTGTAGCAAAGGTGTGAGGCACAAAATATTATTATTATAATTATTATTAATAATAATTGCTTAAAGTTATTTAGCACTTTTCTGGACACTCCACTCAAAGCGCTTTACAGGTAATGGGGACTCCCGTCACAATATTGGGGCATTAGGGCCCACATGGACTGCAGGGTGAGTGCCCCCTGATGGGCCCCACTAACACCTCTTCCAGCAGCAACCTTAGTTTTCCCCAGGAGGTCTACCATCCAGGTACTGACCAGGCTCACACCTTCTTAGCTTCAGTGGGTTGCCAGTTGTGAGCTGCAGAGTGATATGGCTGCTGGCTGCTGGCAAAAGGATGTGAACACCTGAGGCATGCCAGCCTGCTACAACTGAACACTCACCACAGCCAGAAAGGAATACCAGGTCTCCAGAGAAGAGACTCGACGGGCCATCAATGGACTTCCCATCCAGAAGATAGATCATGTGGCCAACAGTGTGCCCTGGCGTGAAGAAAGCTCTGAAGTGCATCCGGCCCACATCTATCGAATCCCTGTCTGACAGAGGGCTGCAATTACACAAAAAACAAGGCACATGTGTCATGTGCCGGGCCACCTGACTCCCACGCCAACAGTCTTCTGCTTTGGCAAGCACAAGGCAGAGCTAAACTGAGGCACTGACTGTGCTCATAATAGCTGACATCACAGAAAAAAATGAATTCAGCAAAGCATGCACAAGCGCTGCACTCACGATAGAACTGAAGAGTACAACACTGAGCACTTCATGGGGCATGTGTAATGAGAATATTCTGGTTAGATAAAGCCAAATTATCATGATTATATAGACATCAATGACATTATCCAAATACTTGTCATCAAACAATTAATGAAGACACAAACTAGGTGGCCGCAACAGTAAGACCTAGACAAAAAAAGCCAGTAACAAGACCCTTAACAAGAGCCAGCAGCATCTGTTTTACTAGAAGATAGCCAAAAGAATCAGAGACAAGATACTGGTACAGTATGGTAATGTTTACAAAATATAAAAAATACTACTTTTCATAAAAATATGGGTGTGTTAACTGTGTCTTGTTGTTACTTTGCACGATTTAAAAAATGTAAGTATGAAAAAATAATGAAGCATCTTCTAAAAAAAACATTTACAATTAGTAACAATCATTAAAAAGCGATTAAGTACACATTAGGATCTGACTGTAGGTTTGTAAACTGGAATTACAAAAACTCAAGAGCACAAATCCTAAACCATTGGTATGAACAGATATTTAAACTCTATTTGATGATAAATGATGTATGAGGTCCAAAGTGCCCATACAAACCTTTTATAAATATACAGTAGTTAGGAACAATCTTTCTGTTATATACTGAGAGGCATTTAAAACTCAAAAATGCTATTTGTTCTAATGCTCTTTTGTTGCATTTTAATTGCCATTTAAATGCACATAAGATGTGCTTGTATTTATATCTTCAATTAACAATAACTAATAACAGGGACATTGTATTTATTTCCAAATTCTTTGTAGCAAACTCAGAAGACCTTTTCAGATATTATATGTTCTCAGAGGTATTTTCATGCTATATAAAAAAAAGTTGCACTAACAGCAAAACAAGTAAAACAAACTATAAAAACTTTGGATACAATTCAACCACAAAGGCAAACAATGACAGAATGAGGAAAAAATGCAATTGTGAGATATCAAATAAGATGATGTCACAGTCTGGGTTAAAGTCAGAACTCTCCGTACTGTTCATCCAGCGAATACCAAGTCCTACAGTTCTCTAAACAGGAAATAGCTGATGTTCAGTTTGGGAGTTTAAGGAAGTGAAAACAGACACCGCAAACTAATTTTCTCTCAAACAATAGCTGACATTTTTGAGACAGAGCTCAGAAATCATTTTAAATTCAATCTACACATAAGTGTATCTGAGTTTGAGAAAAAAAACATTAATGCATTAAGGAAACGAGCTCACAAAAAAAGCAATGTAGTTTTAAAAAGTCTTGAGGGAATGCGATACGTCACGTTTTCATGTGCACGTGATCTCAAACTTACTTGGTGAGGCCCGGAATGTTGTCCATCGCACTCCCATACACTCGACAGGAGCTGTGAAGTCTTCTCAGGCCTTTATTGCCTCCACTGTGGTCCCTGGGGATTGCAAAGTACTGGTTACAGAACTACAAGCTGAAGCACATACACCTCCCTGCCTTTTAAACACATGCACATAAAAGTTACACTTATATAGAGAAAGTCAGCTGTATTTATCTAACAAAGACCTTCTGCCCAATCTTTTTTTAACTATCAACTAAAAGACCGTAACTCTTACTTACTGAATATTTTTTCCCAAACAAAAGCTCTATTTTCTTTATAAAACACTGACAAGGACATTGTTGTGTGTGAGTCAGCAAAGAAAATAAGTCTCCTTTGTTTGCAGACAGTGAGGAAAAATGCACTGGCTTGCTTGTAGTGAAAAATGAAAGTTGTGTTTAGATGAGGAGACTAACATGCTGTAGCTGAGAGATACAGTGCTTTTTGAAAATATTTAGACCCTTGTACAGTTTTCATATTTTGTTGCTTTAAAGCTTGAAGTCAAGGTACTTTGAATTTTAAATTGTAATATTTGTTATATGTTTAACCAAATCCACAAACTCAAATAAAGCAATAGACAAAAAGAAAGCAACAAATTAAGGAAAATGGAAAATAAGTCATCATTGCATAAGTATTCATAGCCTATGCTGTGGAAAATCTAAGTTAATTAAAAGAGTGGCCTCTGTCTCTGTGCAACATAGCGGTTCACATAATTTAGTGAGTTTCAAGCAAACACTCAACCATGAGATCTTAACAACTCAGGTAAAGGATCTTAACACCTCAGGTAAAAAAAAAACTGCATAAAGATACAGATCAGGATGTTCACATCATTCTCAAAGAGATGTTAAGGGTTAAGTCGATAATTAAAATGTAGAAGGCATACAGGCACTGCATAGATCCCACTGTTCCTCAAAACTGAACAGATGGACAAGGAGGAAAGTGGTTAGGGATGCCTCTGTGGGACAATGTTGACTTTGAAAGAATTACAAAGTTATGTGGCTTAGATGGAAGAAAATGTTCAAGGCTCAACAATTTCCCAGTTACTCCTCAAAGGGACATTTATGGAACTAAAAATAACATAATGAACTATAAACTAGGAGCAAACTAATATAATCATGGGCTAAACTTAACCTCCAAGGAATTCGCAACAAAGAACCTGATTTATTCCGCAAAAATGTGGCAAAGGTTTTTGTGGTCAAACAAGACAAACTTGGAAATTTTTGGTCTAAAGACAAAACATTACATCAAAAACAGTATAGTACATCACTCAATCAGTGCCATCCTTTGCTGTCAAGCATGATGGGGACTGTATTATGTTTAGCTTCTCATCAGTAGAGACTTGAAAACTTGTGAAGACTGATGGAAAACATAAATGGAACAATGTGCTTGCAGATCTTAGAGAAAAACTTGCTTTAGACCTAAAAGTGGGACAAAAATTCAACTTTCAGCAGGACACTGATCCAAAGCACAAGGTCATAGCTATGTTGTAGGGTCTTAAGATTAAGCATGTGAACATATTTGGGTGAAAGTCCTGATTTGAATCCTATTGAGAATCTACTGTGCACAAACAATCCCCAAGCAACTTGAGAGGGCTTTCACAAGAAGAATGCACAAATTTTGTACCAAGCCAGTGCGCAAAGCATATAGGCTACAATCCTATTTGGCTTGCAGCTGTCATTGCTGCCAAAGGTGCATCCACCAAATAGAGCTCACAGACTTGAATACTTACACAATCGACCTATTTCTAGTTTTCTTTTTAGTTTTTGCTGACATTTACTGTAACACTTTTATGTTACACTTAGAAATCTGCAGTGTGAGCTTCCAGGTTTAAATAAAATATCAAGCATAAAAAAATGCATGCATTGCTTTATAACTGAACATAATTGGACACCTTTTCCCCCACCCATCAGATACAGCTGCTCTAGGAAAATAATCCATGCTGCTCAGATGAAAACAAGACCCAGGGCACAAGCCATTGAACTATCAGTGATGCAGCTCAAGCATTTAGGTGTTTGTGACACTTTTCTGGGCAGACAACATAAATCAAGTGTAGTTCTAGCACAGCCCATGCTAAAAGTTACAGTCATACTGATTTAAAGAGGCTGTTATTTAATAAAGATTTGTAAACCAAAACCAGGCCTCTCCTCACCAGTGCTTGTGTGTACACAGAATAGCTTCTAATGTCACTCCTTCATCCTCAAGGCATGCCTAAATTGGAAAACAAGAGATTTCATATGCAGGACTTTTCTTACATTACTGTTTAGATAAACTGCTGTCTATTTCCTGCTAATACCCTGCCTACTGTATGTGGTCTTGTACTGACTAGACCTGTACTGACTTTGGACTGACTAAAGCGAGCAGATGATTATTCACAATCAAAATGTAGAACACAAGTCATCTGTTAACAAATTAAAAAAAAATCTTCAAATCATGAAGTGAACTAGATAGTTTTGGTTTTGGACAGTTGTTTTGATGTACAAATATCTCATGACAGATGTAAAGAGAGACGAAAAAATGTTTATATAACAAACATTTACGGTGAATACTTTGTGTATAAAATCAGTCTTCAGAAAAAGCATGTAACAAATTAAAAAACATGTTTAAGGAACCATATTTTTAGACAGATTACTAAATTATTCTTAAATGTAACTTGTACATGCTATACATTTATTACCATCTGGTCAAGTTGTGTCGACCACATGGTCTGGTATCTAATTGCAAATGCAGCCAAAGTCCAGCCTTTGCACAATATCCACAATATCCATTCCTAATTAAATAACTTTATTGCCATATGTAACCGGTACATGTACTGGTACAATGGAATTCTTACTAGTTAAATTAACTCAATTTGACCACACAGCTGAAACAAGACAGATGTGTCTTACTGAAATTCAGTGACAGGTGATATTTCACCTGTATTTCTGTGACGGCAGAAATGAGAAGCTTTAAGTATGTTAATGCATCAAACCCATTTAGAAGTATTAAACAATACGGTACAAGTAAGCAATGCTAACTTGTGTGTCACTTACCTGGACAGCCTGTGGGTCAGCAGGATCCACAAGCACAGCTGCATTTGATGTTTTGTCAATCACCAGGTAACTATAGTTATCTGACAGTATAGGAATTGGCACAATCTTAATACCTAAACATAAAACAAGAATCACCGAAGGAGATTAAAAATTACGAATGCAACATTTTCCGCATTTAACTTTGTATAACAACTCCTTGGATTAAAATATATTAAGGTCTATCCGCTAATATGTCCATTTGATGTGATTTATTTTTTAGCCCAGATTATTTAACATACAAAATTATTTAGGATTAATTACTTTTTCTTACTCTGATTATTTTTGATTACTCTGGAACAATATTCCAATTCTCATAGCTTTCATAGCAGGCTAACGAATTACGAAATCATGAAAATCAAGTTCTTCAATGGCAACAAGCCACTGATATTTCAGTAATTTAATTTATACTGTACCCTTATGCTTGAGTGGCTTAATGTATTGTTTTAACTTGCATCTGTTTGTTCAATAATCTAAACAAGGTATGTTCGCACATGGTTTTAAACTCTAGAACACGCACCGTTGATATCCATTGGCTGGACAGAGGAGTGACCAGTGGGAAATTTCTCTCTAGCTTTTCTCAGTTGCCTCTTGTAGAACATATACCCCAGTTTAGTCCGTGTGTACAGCGTGTACCTGAAATGTAAACACTGCTGTAGTACACACAGATAGATCCGACGAACTACTTTGCAGTTTAAGGGGACTTAACATGCAACATGACCACCTCACGACAGAAAATATTAATTTTGAAATCTACGACATAGGCTTCAGCAAAACAAAACTTTTTTAATTAAACCATAAAGGCACTGAAACCACTAGCATGTCCAATATTACTCTCCTGCTTCTCTTGCTGTTACCACAGGGTACTGACATATGCATAATGTTCATACAGTTAGTCACAACGGGACTGACACACGGTAATGATCCGCCTCTACTGTGATTATTACGGTGTGGACACCGATATATAGGTTCGTCTCAATGAATATATATATATAGGTCTGTATATACGCCTGCAAAAACATGATTTCATTAAATGAAAACACACGTACAGCACAGACGGGGTTCCTGTGGCTGAGGCCAGGGCACCTGATCAGCAGTAAAGGTGCTGTCAGCTGCACAAACAGTAGTCACTCCCACTGTTGGGAACCTGGCCTCCTTCGCCTGGTCAGCAAAAAACACAAAATGCCGCCACTTACGCGATCCGGAAGAGTGGTTTTTCCGTTCGAGCCATTATCCTCATAAATAAATGTTTGGTGCAGAAGCTCCTCCTCACCCCTCGGTACCGGAGACAGATACAAAACAGCCCTGACGCCGCGGCCGCCAGGAACAGCGGAGTGAACCAGTCCGGAAGCGCCATAGCTGTGGGCGTGGACGAGTGACGTCAGGGTCTCGGTTTGGGCGGGGTGGTGTGCGAGAGTTTGATCATTTATTAATTAGCCCTGGCAGCAGTGAATTGGACTGGTGTTGTTTAGGATAGAAAATATGTTTAATTAAGTAACTATATACTCGCATTCCTGGTACAGTGCGTGCCTATACTGAGTAGTAACCATTGAAGTTTTACCAACTTTAATTTTTCTTTTTAATCGATCATTACTAATCTTAGTATGCGCGAAGATTAAAGCATACTAAGATCATGACATGTTTCTTAAGCACAATTTTGTCTAACTTAACCTTGAACGTCTATTCTAAAGCTGCAATATTGATACATGGTTTTAGTTAATTAAGACTAGTAATGTTGACACCCCCACCAGTGTGCAGCCCCACCTGGATGATGCGATGGCAGCCATAGTGCGCCAGTACACTCACCACACACCAGCTCTCAGTGGGGAGGAGAGTAGAGTGATATAGCCAGTTCAGAGATAGGGAATATTAGGAGGTCATGACTGGTGATAGCCAGTGGGAAACTTGGCCAGGACACCAGGGTAACACCTCTATTTCTATCGAGAAGTGCCCCAGGATTTTTAATGACCACAGAGAGTCGGGACCTTGGTTTACATCTGATCTGAAGGACAGTGCCTTTTTACAGTATGGTGTCCCCATCATTATACTGGGCAATTAGGACCCACACAGACTGCAGGGTGAGCACCCCCTACTGGTCCCACTAAGACCTTTTTCCCAGGAGTCTCCGATCCAGACTCACACCTGCTGAGCTTCAGTGGGCTGCCAGCTGTGAGCTGCAGGGTGATATAGATGATGAAAAAAGCTATATCACCCTGAAAGTAATTTAAAAAAAGTAATGAAAAGTGCACTGACACCCATTGAGATTAAGAGTGGACTGTCAGTCTCCTGCTCATCTGTAAGGGGTTCAGCTCCAGGTTGTTTTAATTGGGGACAGAGCCTTCTTGTGTGCAGTGCTCTGTCTGTGGAGATCACTGACCCAGTCCATTAAAGGCTCTCTAATGATGACTTCTTCAGCCTTGCTTAAATACTAGTTTTTATTCTGCGTTTTTAAATCTAGCCTTTAATGTATTATTTGGCCTCATCATGATCATGGGATCCATGAACTCGTTCGAAATCAGTAGTAACAGGAGGACAAGTGAAAATGAACTGAGGCCAAAAAACAGGAGAAATGTCACAGAGAATTGCATGTGGCTGAAACGGACTCCTTTGGATTCCTTAAGAAAATGGTTAACAGAAGTCCAGGTCTTGATCTAGTGTACAGTATACAACAACCAAACGAACAAGATGTCTGTAGCCTATTTTTTTATGCTCTAAAAACTGATCACATAAAATCTGTAGTGTGACGCCACCTGGCGGCAACAGAGGACAGTTTAGAGAGCTATGAAACATGTTTTGAGCTCGCTCACGTGCTTTTGAAATCCGAGACGACGCGCAGCTTTTCGGATCTCTATAGAACTCGTTTTGGGCTCTTTAACGAAATTACATTTTATTGTTTATATTTTGAACTAAATTCCATATCGATAAATGAGGCATTTACTATCTGCTTGGCACGTATACTTCAATGAATACACGATTATTTTATCATAAAGATAAAGTATCGTATATGACCTACATTGTCATGTATACGGAAGCGGATCGCTGCTACCAAGGAAAAACAAAATCCTCGCCCTTATCTCGTAATTACGAGAAAATTATGTCGTAATTACGAGATAGTAATTATCGCGTACTTTATGTGATCACACAACGCACAGTTGTCATACAATACCTATATCGCTACGTGCGGACTTATTATACAGTTTTAGACAGTGGAACTGGTGGAACGGAACAATCATTGCTTTGATCTATAAATCCCACAAAACTGGTCCTCACGCTAATAATGATTCTGTTAATATTAACTAAAAATTGCAAGATTTCATTATGACTGAACCCCAGTTGAAAGTAAATCCGTTCTGCAGTGCTGGACATTTACACGATCATTAAACCGAAAGTGCCAGCCAAGTTCACAGCAGCTTCTAGATGCGTTCAGTGCACAACGTAACAGGTAGTACATGCACTGAAACACTCATTGGCACCTCGTAATTACGAGATAAGGGGGGTGATTTGTTTTTCCCTTGGTGGCAGCATTGCGCTTCTGTACACATAAGCTTTATCCACAATGTTTTTTTAATTGCTGTGTGACCCGCAGAAACATCATTTCTCCACCACCGCCCACCACTATCTTTGGTCCTGGTGTTCCTTTCAGTGCGAGGAGGTGTCTTGGAGAAAGGGCAGGCGAGTGAGCGATGCTCTGGGAAATTGCACACCATTGCGCAGAAAGCGCCGTGTCGGGAGCTCCAGCGAGAAGTCCCGCCCCAGCCCGGCCCGGCCCGGCCCGGCGGACACTCCCAGCGGCGCTGCAGGAAGCTTGGCGAGCCGTGCGTCCGGACGGGGTTGGAACTGCAGCTGCGGAGAAGCCATTACCTGGCCGGGCCGGAGTTTGCCGTCCCGCACGAACTTCTCCGCGGGGGAAAGGCGCTTGTGTTTGCGTGCCTCCTGGGCCAGAGGTGAGCGGACGCCGAGTTTGTGTCCTTTGCCGCTGTGATCTGACTTCACTCGGCGGAGCGGTGCCACTTGGAGGCACAAACAATAAGTTTTGTTTGGGTGCTCCCGTGGACGCCTTGCCGAGAGTGGGTGTGGGTCGTGTAGCCAGATGCGAGGGCATCTTGAGTTCGGGTCCCGCTGCTGTAGGTGTGCATCCTGTAAGTTTACAGTGTGGTCAAGGGTTTTGGGCAGAAGGCTGAGCTGTGGCTGCAATCGCCCCTGCTGTTCTGTTTTCCAACTTGAGTTCCATTGTTTGGTCACCTCTGGGGGGCTTTAACATTTCAGCTGGAAAGCTTTGACTGATAATGCGAAAATAATTCGTTTTTTAATATGTGTTTTTTAGTCTCTGTGGGGGCGTCTCGCTCTCGGATATAAGCGGAGTATATGTGTTGTTTTGTTGTTTTTTTTTTTTTTTAATTTCGTCATCTGCTAGTGAGGCTGGGCTTCTCTGAATATTTACCATACAATGAAGCATGAAAAAATGCTGAATAACTGCTTCGGTTTTAAAACTGGGTTAATAGTAACTGTAGCGCAACAGTTGTCTTGGTTCATTTAGGCGTTTCCGAGGCATTTTTAGACGTGGTCACGCGTCTGGAAGTCGTGTTCAGTCTCGTGATTAAGTTTCGAATATCTTTATTGGCACCGCACGATTTTAGAAGAGTTACCAAGAGGCCTGTGACACTCGCAAAGACACCTCAGGGCTGCCCCACCTTGAAGATATCGTGTTCTCTGTCTTTGGTACAGCCTGAGCTCTCAGTTACACTGTGGGTCTTATTAATCAACTGCATGAGTGTAATACTTGTAACCTGGCTCTGAGATGTTTTATAACTACTATAAACAAAGTGGGTGTTTTGATTCACCTTAAGTAAAATCCGTTATGTGTCAATGACATTTTTAAATAATTGGGTTTGTTTAATTGACGACCAGGGTCGGAAGAAAAGCCAATGGACAGGAGGCCCTTCAGGAAATAAGTCTGACACTGCTGAGATAAGTGTTCAGAACAGCAGTATGTAATTAGGGAAAGACGTGAATTAAGCGCATAGATGTGTGAGACATTTTGATACACATTATTATTATTATTATTAATAATAATAATTGCTTACACTTATATAGCTCTTTTCTGGACACTCCACTCAAAACGCTTTACAGGTAATGGGGACTCCCCTCCACCGATGTGCAGCATCCACCTGGATGATTATTAAAGCTAAACTCTACATAAAGATAATGTATCACCGTATGTAAAGATATTGCTGTGTTCTGTTAATGTGGTTGGCTAAGCTATGTGGAAATACCCCCTTTTTCCCCATCTAGTTCAAGGCTGTTTGCCCCTGGTCCTGGAGAGCCCCAGTAGAAATTAATAGGTCACCCTAGATCACCTGCTTCTAAAGACTGGACATGCTTGATCTGTTTCCGCTAAGCAAGTAATGTGTTCATCTGAGGGAATTCTGGTTCTTGACTGCTTGAGAGGACATCCTTAACACGATGTTGGTGACCCTTGATCTAGTACCTAGGGTTGCAGTACATAATCTGTAACATTCCTAAATCTATTACACATAGCAAAAAAAGTCTTAGACACTTTTCTGTTGTGTTTTATGAGGGAGTCTCTGACAAGTTCACCCCAAAAGACTGAAGCCATTAAAAGCTAAAAAGCAGAACACGTAAGAGGAAACTGAGACCGTGTCCTTCTACTGTGGAAGACAACATGTCCATGTAACATGTAGAGAAAGGACATAAAGATGTTTGCCATCTGCCTTGATCACGGAGGAGCTTATTGCTCTGTATATATTGTGTATAATATGTTACTACCCATATTTAATAATTCAACTCTGTGTTAGTTGCACTTTCTGCCTCTCTTGGTTCAGGTGATGAGAGTGAAGAAAAGGCCATTTTGAGTGTTTGGACTGAGCAAGATGAGCTCACAGTGGCTCTTATACAGCTGCAGCAGCCACATTTACTGCAGATGATGGAGAACACAGCCCTCAGTTTGTACGTTTTCTAAGAATCAGCCTCTCTTCAGTGGCTACAATAAGGGTTTCAGCCTTGGGACCATGCAGCTTAATACAGCACCTTCAAAGGTGGATATACCCAGTGCCCCTTTTACCTTTAAAACAAGCACATTAACAGTAGAACTTGAATAATGGAGAATGTGGCATTACAGAGTGGAGTTCAGGAGGGCTTCAGTGCTGTTTCTTTTTTTTTTGTTCAGTGCATGATTAAAAATGGGTTGTCTTCCTGGCATGGAGTACAAGCCGGAATTTAAACTTTCCATTTTTTTTCACTGTTGTTTACCAGATGTAGAGGAAATATGATGCAATTGAGTTAATTAACTTTGTTTGAAATAAAACTATAAGAAAACAGCCTATTCTACATAATATAAAAAAATACTTTCCACAGAAGTAAAGCTTAAAAGTTTGATTATTATGGGCAATTTGTGTAATTCGGAGGACTTTATGCTGTATACATATAACGATGTTTAAAATGTCCATAGTGATGAGTAAAACCTCCAATTTACATCACAAATGAATCCAAATATTGCTCTTGACTTTGAGATGGTTTTGCAGACAAATACTACTTGTTAACTCTGTATGCAGATCATGTTGGAACATTTCTGTGGTGAAATGTCTGCTGCACAACCTGTACTTATTCGCTTGTACATCACAGTACATCAGTCAGGACAGGGACTAGTGAGCAGAAAGTGCTGCTTCACATCGTGATTTGTGTAAACTCTCACTCTCGCCTGTGGGAACATGGGGGCCTTACAGTACTTTTACAAAGTGTAGGATTTTGTGCTTAATCTGGAATTTTGTGATACCATCAATGAATTTATTTTGTTACTGAGATTTTAATCCGGACACAGCTCCAACTCCATCTACAAATATGCTGATGACACTACCATCATAGGCCAGATCACCAGTAACGGTGAGACGGCCTACAGGGATGAGGTCAGGGACCTGGTGGAGTGGTGTCTTGACAATAATCTCTGCGTCACCGTCGGCAAAACCAAAGAGCTGGTCATTGATTTTAGAAGGCCGGGTGGGGACCGCATCCCTATTCACATCATTGGTGTGGCTGTAGAGATGTGTAACAGCTTCAAGTTCCTGGGTACCTTCATCACTAATGATTTAATGAGGTCAAAGCATGTAACTGGAGCTACAAAGAAGCTATTTTTATCATCTTAAACATTATATTAGAAATGTCTTATAATGTACAAACAACGTTCTGCATAATGTGCAGTCTCCCTGCACCAGTGCTGTTTCTAAGACACAAGCCATAACTGATCGTTTCAGAGTATGCAAATGGAAAGTGTCAATAATGGTTTACAGTAAAAAAATGCAGTAAAATGTCAAGAAAACACAATGAGCAATGCATTGAAAAACATGAAATAAAACTATACTGTGTTGAAATATTATTTTGTGATGTTAAGAAGTTATAACCTCCTGGACCCTACCCAGATGTACCTGTAAGAGGTAGATAACATTTTAAATAGTTTAGATTGAAGAAACTTGAATTTGAAGGGTGTACATCTCCTTGCTTTGTTTTCAGGTCTATGAGTGTAGTTGTCTCTCAGTTCATGTTGTGGAGAGCAGGTGTCTCTGAAGATGCCCAGGTCTCTTTAAACAGCAGCACCTGTAGAGATGGGAGATGTTTAGGAAATGATGAGGTGATTTAGGCCATGAGCTCACGTGGACTAAAAACCTGTAGTCACACTAGCCCTCCGGGACCAGGGTTGGAGATCTCTGCCATTGAACATTTCTCCTTTTCTCCTAACACCTGGAGCTCATAGTTCTTGTGCTCTTTGTTCTAGAGGTGTCTTCAATTGTGGTCCGCAAACTTGCAACCTGGTTGTTCCCAGGTGGTTGTTGTGCTGTTGTAGGGACAGCAGAAGCTAGTCAGCGATGGTTGATGAATGGCCATTGTGAGCACTCTGATTGAGCAGAAAGTCTCAGGCCTGCATCAGGATTTTCCCACAGCTTTGTACTGCAGCTCTGGTGATGTAACCAGTTAAGCCTGAACCCTGCTTCAGAATTGTATGTTGGGAAGTAGGACTGAGTTTTTAAAATTTTTGCCACTGAAAGGTGATGTTCAGATCACTGTGTTCTCAGCATCAGCCGAGAAACAACAGATTAAGCAAGGCTATTGATGCTCTAACAGTTTTATAGAAAAATGCATAAGCTGATGTTTTGATCCTAGTTTAGGATTCTGTTCTTGAACTAAAATTGTGAACCTGTCCCCTATTATATATGAATGGTTTTTATTTCATATTTACTTCCTCTTTTATTATAAAGGGCATTGAGGTTTTTTCATAAACACATTTCATAATATAAAGTGCACTATTAAAAATCAAACTCTTACAAGGTGTATTTTTTGGAAACAGAATAAAATGACTTGATTTGAGTCGTCGCATGTCTCTCCTTACAATGAAGACTTTAGAGAGAAGCTGGTATGATCATATTGTGTGAACATTTAAAATGGTGGAACGCAGATCCTGCTCACCACGTGCCTGTCCTGTGTATCAGCATGCTCACAGGCGGGGCACCAGCCCCCTGCTGTGTCAGCGGATGGTCTGTGGGGACATATAACAGCAGTGGAGAAAAGACACGTGATCATTTAGTTTCCATATTTCAGAACCCACAGCAGCTCATTGCTATAAACCAGAAGATCGCTCTCTGTCTTGGTTAAGTAGTGTCTCTCAGACAGCCTTGTTGTTTCTCAAGCACTTAGAATTGGGATGACATTCTGTTTGGTTCCCAAAAAATCTGAAATTAAAATGGAACAATTGAAAGAATTTTTGTCTCCAAAGTCACTTTGCAAGAACCCATTCAGGCTAACTGAAATTCTGCTGTGCTGTGTATTTTTACATTATTTTAAACAACGATTGCAACCCTTTGAAAGTAGTGTTTTACTTTACTTGCAGAATTAAACTAGAAGCTCAAAGCCTGTCACAATGTCGAAGCCTGATATTCCTCCGAGCTACGAAGAGTCGCGGAATCCTCTCTACCCGCCTCAGGCTGGAGAATATCCTCAGCCCCCAGCATACGGCTTC